GGAATGCCCGGTCAGAAGTCCACCCTGGTTGCGAATACACATTTGATGGGAAATTACGAACAGAGGCTGGTCCTCCACATGTGGAGGGAAGATGTGTGCAACTGTTGCCCTGAAACCGTGCTTGAGAGTCAACTCGGCCCAACTGGACACAGACAGCGTTTGTCAGGTTACCAGGCAACCGTAAACAACAAATATGTGTGAGTCTGGGAGGAAGGGGTGGAAAAACCAGGCTTCTTCTCAATATCCTTGTCACTTTTCATAATAAGAGCCCATCCCCAAGTGCTCTCGTGTCCTGGGCTGTGTCAGCCCGAGTCTTGTGTCACCTTCTGTTGTGGCCAAGTGCTCTGGAGTCAGACTGCCCAAGTACACACTCGTGATTGGGGGTGATCTATACTCTCTGAGCCTCAGTTTGCCCATCTCTAAAATGGGGATAATAACAGCTCCAATCTTTCAGAGGATTAAATGACTTGAAGGTGGTCAAGTTCTTAGTACACAGCCTGACAGATAATAGTCCGCAAATACTACCTGATGTTATTCCCCTGTATTGTGGGTTTTCTCAGCAAGCCCCTCATAGGCCAAACTCGTGCAGGGAAACCTCCCTTTGGAGGTTACAGAGAGATCTTCAAACACACATGCCCCCAATACACTCCTGGGGTCTGCCCTGGAAGTCGGGTACGAAGGGGCTGTCCGTTCAGCTGCCAGGTACACACCTCCTCTGGGTCCACTTACCCACCTAGATCTCTGGCCTTGGGCATCCTGGTGGGGGGCTTTCCTCACTGGCTCCCCTCGTGTGAGCAGATATTCCCGGTGTGGAGTTGGGCTCCCAAACAGCTGGCCTGCACACTCTGACCTCCTTCCTGCACCCCACCCTCCCCCCTCCTCCCAGCCCTTCCCAGCCTTCCATCTTTGCAGAGGTTTCAAATTGTCCAGGTAGCCACATCTAATCCATCTTTCCTGTTGGTTTCTAGAGAAGCAAGACCCTCCCTGGTTCTTTCCAAAAGCTGTTTCTCCTTCGGTCGTCAGCTCCTTCAGTTGTCTCCATCCCTGTCACCGTGTAGCCTTTCCCTAAAAAAACTATCTTGGTGTCCAAGCAGCTCTCCTCAGGAAGGCAGCAGCTGCTGAAGGGCCCTTACTGTGTCAGCGGAGTTCAGGGCCCTGTGCAGTGTCTTCTGTTTTCTGTTCAGAGTGGGGGTTAGCATGTTATGGTAGTTGCCATCCAGCCATCAAAAGTTCCCACCATCTTCCCTTTAAGCCTGCCAAAATTCTTAAAATTCCTTATGTTCTGGATGGACCTTGAGGGCATTATGCTAAGTGAAATAAGTCAGTCAGAGAAAGACAAATACTGTATGATCTCACTCATGTGGAATCCACAAAAGCTGAACTCACAGAAACTCACAGAGTAGATTGATGGTTACCAGGGGCTGAGGTGGGGAACCAGGGAGATGTTGGTCATAGGGTACCATTTTCTAGCAGTGACATGAGTAAATTTGGGGGCTCTAATGTACAGCGTGGTGGCTAGAGTTAATAATACTGTAATATATACATGAAAGTTGCAGAGAGAGTAGACCTTAAATCTTCTCACAACAACAACAAAATAGTAATTACGTGGGTGAAGGATGTGGTAACTAACCTTATCGTGGTTAACTAAATTATTTTGTGATCTATACGTGCATCAGATCACATTGTACACCTCAAACTTACACAATGTTATATGTCAGTTATATCTCAGTAAAGCCGAGAAAAAGGATTCCTCACGTTCTCTGTCTAAATAAAAGCTTTACTGAAGTATAACTCACATACCAGCTAATTCACCCATTTAAGGCATACAAGTCAATGTGCTTTGAGTGTCTTTATAGAGTTGTACATCCATCAACACAATCAATTTTAGAGCATTTTCACTACCACCCCCCCCAAATGTCTTACCTTTCAGCTGTCACCCCTCAGTTCCCCCATCCCACCTAGTCATCCCCTAGGAGACAACTCGTCCACTTTCTGTCTCTATAGATTTGTCTCTTCTGGATATTGTATATATAAATAGAGTCCATCATACAATATGTGGCCTTTTGTGTCCGGTTCCTTTCACTTAGCAGAACACATTCAAGGTGTGTCCGTGCTGTAGCTGTGCCAGTGCCTTCATTCCCTTCTATGGCTGGATGACATTCTGTCGTATGACTGTCCCCTATTTTGTTTATTTCTCAGTTGATAGTCGTGGGGGTTGTTCCTTATGTTCTTTTTAACACATTGAGGCCCAGCTCTCTATTTGAGATTGCCTTTCAATTTCCAACCACTTTTATCATTTTTATCACAGCCCCAAATGACTTCTTGGTTTGCTTGTGAACGTAATCCCTGCTCAGACATTATGTTCTGAATACCCATAATAAAATTAAAGGTTGGTTCTGTTAAAAAAAAAAAAAATTTCCAAGACCTGGCAGAAGAAAGGATTCAGCCCATACAGTTTCTCTTTTCTTCTGTGTAATTATTTAGGCTTTAATGATTCACTCAGTTTAGATGAGTGTTCAAACTGGCTGAGAATAAAATGAAGTTTTCCTCCAAGGAGAAGAATATTATGAGTGGGAAACAAAAATACCTTAGAATTTTAGCAGAGGAACACACCAGGCAAGCATGCTTTCTTTTTATGGGTCAGGTGGCACCAGTAACACCCTTATTTAACCCTTTCCTTTTGGGAGCTGATTTCTCCCAGGCACGTTGTCTACCCAGGCCTGGTGTGCAGAGATGATGCCAGTTAGGCCCAGGTGGAACTCTTAAGTTTACTAGATCTCTCTGAAGTTTCTCTAAGTGGTTTTCAGTTTTGCTAGTGTCGAGTGTGAAAATGAGGTCAGATGGAGTAAATGGGATTTGGTGGGTTAAATTGCAGGCCAGGATGCCATGCACTGGAACTGTTCAGCTTTGAATCTCACGTACTCAGGTTTGAACCTCCTGTGTGCTGGTACTGAGCAAAGTTTCGCCAGGATTTGCATTATTGGGTTTTCTGGTGCTGCCTGGGGACCTTGTGTGTCCCTCCCTTAGATGCCTGCCCTGAAGAATTCTTCCTTGAAAATCTCAGTGGCTTGGTAATTATGCCCATCCCTCCTGACTGCTGGATAAATTCACTTCTGGGATTTGAGGATGCATTTAAGGAGGACAAAGGCAAGTTAGCAGAGGTTGTAATGTAACAAGAGGGGAAGCAAAAGCATAATATATTTATACACCAAAATGATCACAAGATGAACATCAAAATTTAATTCAATTGCCTCTCATATATTTGAAAGTTGCTAAGAGGGTAGATCTTAAAAGTTCTCATAACAAGGGAAATAAAAAGTTTGTGTGTGTGTGTTGATGGATGTGAACCAGACTTACTGTGGTGGTCATTTTGCAGTATACACAAATGTCAATCATTATGCTGTACACCTGAAACTAATGTTATATGTCAATTGTATCTCAATTTTTAAAAATTTGAGATGAACTAATTTTAAAACGTCGTCTCTACCAAGGGGGCTCTTTGATTCTCTCCCTCCAACTTTGTGTGGAAATGGGAAAAACCTTAGGCTTTAGAATTAGTAGATCTTGTGGCCCTTGGGCACATCACTTCCTATCTCTGAGCTTACGTCATAAGGATGATACCTTCCAGCCTACAAGTGGGTTCATGTGAGATCAAATGGGATCACTTGTGCATAACACCCAGGACAGAGTAGATGCTCAACAGCAGCTACTTTTCAAGCTCTTCTCCCCCAAATGATTTTTTTTTTTTACCCTCATTCATACCCAGGTTTTTATTTTTTATTTTTTCGGTACGTGGGCCTCCCACTGTTGTGGCCTCTCCCGTTGCGGAGCACAGGCTCCGGACACGCAGGCTCAGCGGCCATGGCTCACGGGCCCAGCCGCTCCGCGGCATGTGGGATCTTCCCGGACCGGGGCACAAACCCGTGTCCCCTGCATCGGCAGGCGGACTCTCAACCACTGCTCCACCAGGGAAGCCCCCATACCCAGGTTTTAAGAGGAACAGTTTGTAAGGAAGTCCTCTTCCCACAGGATGGTGCCGCTACCTCTCTGTGCTTGAGGGAGACCATCTTTGTCTGCCTTGAGTACCTCGGGCCCGGCAAACATTTGATAGACTTTGCTAATGTTCGGATTTAATAAATCTCAAGAACAGTACAGCCTTTAAAATGAAGTCCGTTCTCCCAATGGGGGGGTGGAAACTTTTGCAATGATTATTGGTTTTCATTTACATCCTAATGTTTGAGGATGGGAGCCATAATCTGAAGAGCCAGAAGTAGATACCAGCAACTGAAAATACTGTATGAATGTCGTGAACATCCAAGTAGACGCTTTGTTTTTTCCTCCAGCGGCTTTCTTGGCAGAGAATTAAAAAGGAAAAAAATGGCTGCATGATTTAAGAAAACACTGTGGTGTTTTGGTGATAATAACTTACATTTCTATAATGCTTTCCAGCTTACAGAATGCTTTCCCATTATTATTTCATTGAATTCTCACAAGTCCCAGAGGTAGGTAAGACAATACTATATTATGGTAAAGGAAATGCTGCCTCTACCACTTACCTACCATGTGGCTCTGTGGGTTATTTAAACGCTCTAAGCTTATTTTCCTAAGGTCTAAAATGGGAGTTGAATCATCCCTTTCTTTTAGGATTGCTGTACAGATTATATGAGCTAATGCATAAACAATACCAGCGACAGAGTAAGTGCTTAATAATTGGCAACTGTTACTATGTTCTTAGGTATAATAATCCTCACTTCACAGATGAGGAAACTAAAAATGACCACCCATTTGCCGGAGATCACACCATTTGTAATTAGCAGAACTGGAATGCAAATCAGATTCCTCTGCCCTCCGCTTTAGTCCTCTTTCCATTACACCTTAGCTGACATGTGCCATTCAGGACTGTCTCAGTGCTTCTGCCAGCAAGGTCCCCCACAAGAATGAGCCTCTTACCAGTTTCTCTGATGCGCTCATCTTTTCCACGTCTGCTTTTGTGTTCACAGAACATCATCAAGAAGGTGATCGGGCAGAAGTTTGTGTATAAATTCGTCTCTTTCCCGGAGATACTGAAAATGGACCCTCACGCGGTGGAGATCAGCCGGGAGAGCCTTTTGCTGCAGGACAGCGAGTGCAAGGCGCCCCCCGAGAGCCGCGAGGCCCACAGACACGGCCTGTCCGCCCTCAAGAGCGCCAGCCGCAACGAGTACATCCACTCGGGCCTGTACTCGTCCTTCACCATCAACTCCCTGCAGAACCCACCTGAGTCCCTCAAGGCCATCAAGACGGAGAAACTGGAGGAGCCTCCGGAAGACAGCCCTCCCGTGGAAGAAGTCAGGACTGTCATCAGGTTTGTGACCAACAAAACCGACAAGCACATCAGCAGGCCCGTGGTGTCCCTGCCCTCCACGTCGGAGGCCTTCCTGGCCTCGTCCGTCTCCGCCAAGATCTCCTCGTTAATGTTGCCAAACGCCGCCGCCAGCATCTCGTCTGCCTCACCCTCCTCCTCTCGGTCCCCGTCCCTGTCCCCGAACTCGCCCCTCCCCTCCGAACACAGAAGCCTCTTCCTGGAGGCCGCCTGCCATGACTCGGATTCCCTAGAGCCCTTGAACCTGTCATCGGGCTCCAAGACCAGGTCTCCATCTCTTCCCCCAAAGGCCAAAAAACCCAAAGGCTTGGAAATCTCCGCGCCCCCGCTGGTGCTCTCCGGCACCGATATCGGCTCCATTGCCCTCAACAGCCCGGCCCTTCCCTCGGGATCCCTCACCCCAGCCTTCTTCACCGCCCAGGTAAGAGCCGTCTCCGTCATCCTGGCTGCCCCCAGACTCAGTGGCTTAGCGGAAGGGAGGAAAGAGCAACCGAAGCAACTTCCTTCTGCCCCTCAAAGGATAATCCGAGGGTCCCTGTGGCAAAGTCACCGTGTCCCTGTGCAGGGAAATTACTTTTCCATGCCCAGGTGGGAGCATACACAAGAGGAGAGGCTTAGGGTATTGGCTACAGTGGGATGCTTAATTGGTTTCTAGCTTTTAGGGGCCTAAAGCGATCGTAAATGGAATACGCACACTGGCCGTCAAAGCAGATGCAAACAGTGATTTCCTAGGGAAAGCTGAGCAGGCCGGTGACGTTTCAGAAGGCGCCTGGGCTTTATGAGAATGTTATGGGAGAATCCTCTCTGGGGGGCCCTCGGTAAGTAGCCGTTTGTTTTCTGTTAATAAGAAAATAGGTGCTAACCAATACGGCCATTGCAGTCGTCAGTGGGGAGCTGGGTTGTCCTGTAGTCTCTAATAAGAAATGCAGGGGCCACATCAAACAGTGAGAAAGAGAAGCTTCAGTAAAAAACGGTGCTAGTCTGAGAAAGCCCAGGTCCACAGCATAGGGGAGAGGAAAGCAAACTCGTGGAGCAGGAAAAGTCTTCGGTGCTACTAACTCCAACATGAAGGCGGCCTTTTCCTCTAAATACGGTATTCAGATGCTCACCCTTGTCCAGCTGGCAGCTGCAGGGCAAACGCAGAGCAGGTACTGGTAAACCTACTTCTGCTTCCTCTGGAAAACTGGATGCGTTTCAGTGGCAGAGGTTAAGTGCATTGGCTTTGGGGTCACAGACCTGGATTCAGTCCCTGGCTGCACTGCTGGGTGGAAACGTGACTGTGGGCACTTGCTCTCTGAGCCAGTTTCCACATCTGTGCAATGGACTGTTGTGAGGATTAAAGGGGATAATGGCCGTGGGAAGAGAGCTGGCTACAACCGGCAGGTTTTAGTATCATGTGACTTTGTGGCACCAGGGTGGGGTCATGCTTGAGGTGGGTAGGAGCTCTCTGTCCCCATCGCTGTAGGTGTCCTTGCTGTCACCATCATTAGTGGCAGCATAATTGAGCTGCTCGTGTGTGCCAGGTACTGTTCTAAACACCGTCCATGCACCGTCTCAGTTATTTTTCATCACAGGCCCGTGAAGGAGATACTATTATTGTCCCATTTTCCCAACAGAGGTAAATGAGGCACGGAGGTAAAGTAACTCATCCAAGGTCACACAGCTAATAGGCCACAGAGGTGAACTTGAACCCGGTTAGTCCGCTCCAGAAGCCATGCTCTTTAAGTAAAATGCTCTCGGCATGTGCACTGGGAAAATGCCCACTTGTCCCTGATCATGAGACGTCCGTGGAGTCTGCAGACAACTGAAAGCAGCTCTTGGGCATTTTCCTCTCCATGGCTTCTCCCAGATGATTGTGGCCCAGGGATTTCGTGTCGGCTCAGCTCGTGAGCTGGTGGTGACGGCAGGCTGCCACGGAGGGGAGGGCTGAGGGCTCGCGTGTGTGCTCTTACGTGGGGCATTTCCTGACCAAGCAAAACTGTCCAGTGACTAAGGACCGCTGAGTAAATGGCTCAGGCGCAGCGGCTTCTGATGTCGCTCAGACAAGTAACTAGAGAAGCGGGCCAGGGGGTGCAATCTGAGGATCTCCTCCCCGGCCTCCTCTGTGTTTCCAGCTGTGAGGTGTAGAGAGGCCTGGAGCCAGGCCCAGGCCAACTCTGATTTCAGTCCCTGCTTTCTCTGTGTATCACCGTCTCTGAACACGTGCCAGTCCTGTAGTTGCGTCGGAGGAAAGCGGCTTGGGCGTGGGAGGAAAGCGGCTCGGGCTAGCCCTGTGGTTATGGGCCTGGACATAGTGAATTTAGGGAGGCTCCGGGCAGTGGGACTGAGGATGTGTGGCTGGGCCGAAGGGAGGGGGGACAGTGACACGAGTTAGGGACAGAGGGTGGATGTGGAGGAATGGATGCAAAGCTCAGGACTGGGAGACGGCGTCTACTAGAATCGCCTGCCAGCAGGGAGGGGGAAGCATGGGAAAGCCAGATGTTTAACAGAGGACCTGTGCCTTAGGGAGATGCACTGGCTGGTCCTCCCAGGCTGTGAGGGCGGGGCCTCGACCTGTGAACGAGCGCCATGACGTCCAAGATGTGGGAGGGCGCTTCCCGAGGGGAGAGAGAGGCACAGGGCAGGGTCTGGACTAGGACAGGAGAGGGGAAGTGGCAGCCTGGGCCTTGGATCAGGTGTGAGGGGGTGGCGTTGGGGGCTAGGTAGTGTCTGAAGCCATTCAGAGCTAAAGGAGTCAACGGCTGCCCTTGGGAGATGGCGGAGTCTCAGGACTTGAGATCCCCTCACCTTCTAGTGGGCTCAGCTCTGTACCTGGAGCGCCTGTGGCTGACAGGGAGGGAGAGGTGAGGCCAGGAGGGAGAAACCAGAGAGAGCAGAGGAAGGGCAGGACCCAGGGGTGGGGTGTTCCCCCAGGTGGGTTCTCTGAGAGCAGACAGGAGAGTCAAGTGGTTTTATCTCAACTTGACAAGCCTTGAGTCTTTTAGGATTTCGGGGAGGCCTCGAGTCAGTGTAGGATTTGGATTCTCCGAGAACAGGAGCTGTTTCAGGTGCCCCAGAAACTAATCCACCAGCCCCTGGTTCACCCTCCAGTGCACAGTCAGAAACAGCATCAGCTCCCTCAGCAGTTCTCCTGAAGTCCACTGGGCCTCAAACTGAGGGGTGAGCCCATCTCCCTGAAATCGCCCCCAGGGACGGGAGCGAAGGACTCCTGTTGGCCCCCAGGTCAACTCTGGGGGGGTTCCTCTACCCAAGGGAGCGTGGGGCGTTTCTCTCACAGGCAGCAGTGGTGCCTCACTCCGCGGCTCACTGGCTTCTCTCCTCCCTTAGCACTTTCTGTCGCAGAAACTGCACTTTCTGTGGGGTATGCAGTGTGTACGCAGAAACATTTGGTTACCTGTGGGGACCGCCTATCAACTTTCTTCGTGGCTAGCTTTAAAAGAGATAAAAGTGTGCTGTAATAATTTGATACCCTGAAAATGAAGTTCCCAAGAACTTGTATTTATTCCAAGAATGATTTATATTTTACTGATTCGTTTATTCCAAGAATGATTCCCAGTTAGTTTCAGCTAGAAGCATGGCAGGAAGAAGGGTAGGATTAAGCATCTCAGCCTGCTTAGGGTCCTGTGGTTACAGTGCCCCCCAAGGAGGGACCTCATTAAACCACATACCTCGTGTAGGCCCAAATTCAGATTTGAAATTTCAAGCTACAGCATGACGGGCATGAAAAAGCATCGGCATCCTGCCACTCCCCCAACATCAAAACCGCCACTCCCATCAAGAATACTTGTGGCACATCTGCTGGCACCCATACAAAATGCAGCTGAGATTAGTCTCATGAGTCTTTGAGAAACGATGACAAATGTAGACAGACACGATGATCACCACGAGGCAGCCCCAGCGTGGACTGTGAGAAACAAATGAGAATACAAAAGCCAGCTGGCACCAAGGAGTGAGGTAGTTGGAGCTCAGCCACCGAGGTCATATTGGGCTGTTGCTAGAAAAACAAGAATGTTATCTCTGATGGCATGAGCTACAGAAATTGAGATGGGGGTGGGGGGAGGAGCCAGGATGTGAAACCCTCCTGGTTTCCAGCCAGGCACCATGGAAGCCCAGATGGTGCCAGCTGGAACTTCTGATTCTCTGTATCTCCTGCATCTGGGTGTCACCTGTCCCTCTTCCTTCCATTTGCCTCTTCTGTTAGGTCTCTCCCTCCTCCTGTCTTACCAGTGTAAAGTTAGTTCAGAATCGGAGGTTGGCTCATTGCACGTCCCTCCATTTATGCCAAGGCCTCTGTTCATCTCACACGTGATGTCTAAGATGTTGAACTCAGATACGTGCGGGCACCAGGGCGTGAACTCACATCAGAGTCTGAGCATGCATGCCCCGGGCTGTTTTATTAGTAGCGGCTTTGGGTTAACACTGAGTAGAGACAGCTTGCTGAGGACTGAAATGCTAAAACCTCCTCCTGCATTTACTGATGGATGTGACAACCTTGAGCCCAGATCATAAGGTGGGAATTGGGAGTAAAATGGATGCGTGTGGCGAGGAGCGTGTGGGTAGACTGCCTCCTGGCTCAGCTCCGGAGTGGTTTGCATCTTATTGTCTCTTTCGCCATGATCACGAAAGGAAGTAAGTTTGTTTTTTTTTTCCCTTCATCCCACTCCGTAACACTGCCCTAGCTCAGCCTGCAGCTTTCTCCATACTGGCCCTACAGAAGAAGGACGTCCTTTTAGGGGCTCTGTTCAGTGGAGGATGTCATTGGTAGACTTTTGGGTGACTTGACACTCCAGCTGAAGGTTCTTGCTTCTCCCAGCTCTGGATTGCCTAAGATGAACAAAGTGTGATCGTCGCCCTCCCTCTTTCCACCCTGGGGCCCGTCTTTCCTGTAGATCCTTTGTGGATCTGCCGACTTCTCCCCAGTTCTACCCTTATTCTATTTTTCCCCCTAACTCTTACCGTAGCTCCCCTGGACCAATAGGGAATTCTCCTCTTTGTCCTCTTTTCCTTCAGATCAGCACATTCAGTGCCACACAAACTTGTGTGTGACTCTACTTCTTTTTGGAAGTTCTTAAAACCATGTTTTTATTTGAATTCAGACAACTCTAGGAGTTTCCAGAGGTTCACTGCCAACCTTTTGAGGATTTTTTTAAACCACAAAATGGCACTGTCATGGATTCTGTTGGCATCCATGGGAGATTAAGATTAGAGATGTTTGTTGCTACAACCTGCCCAACCATCGGCTAGGCACCTGGAGATACAGAGGTGAGCAAGACAGACACAGCTCCTGTTCTCATGAGCTTACAAGCTTGCTGTCCAGTAGGTAAAGAATAAGGGCAATATATAACATGGGGTGGTGTGAAATTATAGAGGGCCCTGGGAACTCACTGAGGAATTTATACTTGTTTTGATGGGAAATTAATAGCTGCTGAAGGTGTAAGTCAAGGGAAACAAAAATTCCTGTTAGAATCTATCAACAAGTAATTATTTAGCATTATTTGCAAATCACAGGAAGGACACCAAAAGTACAAGTGCCTATTTTTACGACCTTAGGACCGAGCCATGACAAGGCATACACACGCACAAGATGGCACACGGCAAGAGCCAGATACACAGTGCAGAGAAGTACCTTAGGAACAGAAGGGGGAAAGAACATGTAGTTCAATTCAACAAACCCAGACTGAGCACCTATCATGTGTCACAGGCTTTGCTTGGAGCCGGGGGCGCAAACGTGAATTAGATAGTCTGTTAGTTGGGAGGGAACTCGTAACTTAAGTTGGTTAATATAATATCCCAGACACAGTACAAATGGAATTCTTAGGTATAAAAGGAATACTAAGGAAGAAGGTATTAACTTTCTTGGGGATGGGGAAGGGTGTTGAAAAGGTGTTCGTGGAAGGGGTGCTCACACTTGGTCAGGGTGTTAAAGGATCAGCAGCAATTTATCTGGCACCTGGGGTGAACGGGGCACTGTAGGCAGAGGAACACCTTGAGCCAAAGCATAAAGATGTGCAACAGCCTTGTGCATTAGGGCAGAACAGCAGTTCAGTAAGAGGGGAGGATACATTCCAAAGGTATAGGAAGTGGTGGAAGATGGAGCCTGAATGACATAGTTGAGAATTGTGTTTTAGAAACCGTCCTGATGACGTGGATTAGGGAGGGGAGAGGCTGGAAGCAGTTAGGATATGACTGTAAAATTCCAGGTGAAAGACAATGAGGACCTAAGGCTGTGACAGTGGCATGAGGCGAAAAGCGATGGTTCTGGGGGACACAGGGACTGCCACCAACAGGACTTGGTGATGGGTGTGGAGGTGCTAGGGGAGAGCCAGAAGTTGAGTATGAGTTTCACGGAAGGAAAGAAGCTCATGGGGAAAGGTTACAGGTCCGGTTTGGGCTGTGTTGAGTTTGAGGAGCCTGAAGGACATTCAGGAGGAAACACCCAGCTGCAGCTGGGGCCAAGGAGAGAGTCTGGGGATGGCCAAGGGATGGTTACTAACTGCAGAAGCAGATGCGATCACTTGTGGAACGGCTCTAGCCCAGGAGACCATGGGCTGAGTGGTCAGGACAGTTCGGGAATGAGTGCTGAAGAACGAGTAGGTTGGAATTGTGTGGTGCTCAGGACACTTCAACCAAAGCTGGGGGTGGGGGCATGCACGGGGGGCGGGGGGGGGGCTTTCACGTGAAACTAGGCTATGGGGGAACCTAGAATTATGGCCAGGGAGGTTGTACTCTTTTTTTCCCTGCAACTAAACGCAGTGTCTTAAGGGGATTGATTCAGTGGCAGTGCTCAGAACAGACTGGAAGGGAGAGATCAGAGGCAGCTGCCACCTAAGTTGATAGGGGCTCGGATGCAGCAAGACTGGAAATGAGGGGGTAAACAGGAGAGTCAGTTCCAGGAAGTGTCCACAGGCCATGCCCAGAGGGTGTGGCAGGGGGTGAGGGGAAGGCATTTTGCGCCTCAGTGACTGGACGCGGGGTCGTAGACAGGGCTGTGAGTACAGGGATAGTGTCTTGTTTTACCATTGTTCCTCTGGCGCCTGATACATACTGTGTACTCGGTCAGTATTTGTTGAGTGGGTAAATGGTGCTCCTGTTGATAGAAATGGATGCGTCATAAACACTGGATTTGGAAAGAAGGTGGTGAGTTTGTGCCGTCTGGTTGAGGGGAAATCAGGAATCTCCTTTGAGGAGGTGGAAGGCATTTTGATGGTCAGAGGGCATGATCCAGGAGGAGGGCACTCAGGAGGGGTGTGTCTGGACAATGTTCGCTCACCAGGTTTAGCTCAAATATGAGGGCTTTCTAGAAGACTCAGTATTAAGTGTAAGAAGAACTGAGTGGGGAGGATGAAACGAGGTCCTGAGAGGAGGGTCTTTCCCCTTGAAAATGAACACCCATTGCCTTTAGGCCCTAGGGCATCCCCTTCCCTGGCAGGTGCCAGGATCAATAAGTCCCTATCTGCCATTCAGAAGAGCTCATTTGCTAAGACATTCTTCAGTGAAGGAAGAGGAAGCGTGCGTTTTGCTGGTGGCTTCTTTCTTTAGCCTCTACCTCGGGCTCAGCTTACTCTCCATGACTCAAGGTGCTTGTGGAGAGAGGCTGTGAAAGCTCCCATGATACCAGAAATAACCCAGGCCAGGCTTTATAGGAATCTTCCCTAAAAGAGCAACCAACCAGTTTTTTTCTCTATGGCCACAGGATCTTCAGGCAGAACAGGGATGGGAGGGAGAGGAGTGAATGAAGTCATTTTACAGTATTTATTTGCATGTATTATAGAAGACATTTCGAATGTATTTAACATGAGAAACAGAAGGCTACTGTATTCTGAGTATATCCTGTATCCCTTAGAAACAAATATGCAAAACATCTCAAATTCAGACATGGGTATGAATTTTAGACTATGAAAATATATTCTACACCTCGTATGTTGCTCAGAGGATTAAAAAGAAATGGATATATATTTATGGCCATGGATGAGAGAAAGGGAGCTGGCTATGTTTTGTAGTTTAGCAGATTCACTGTCTCTTTAGAGCTGTGAGACTTTCATTGGTAGGTAAACTAGGAGGCCCTGAACACATTGGTTAGTATATGTCAATGTGGCATACTGTGGTTGGGACCTGGATTCAGAGTAACATGCAAATACTAGTTCTCAGATCACCTGAGCTGTGGACTTGACCCTAACATGACTGAGAGGAACCTTAAAGCACCAGCTGACTAGGTTGGTTTGTCTATTTCAGAACATTAAGTACTTTTCCATATACAGTTGAGGATTTCTCCCATGAATAGGTGAAATACAGTTCATCAGGTACACTTTTAATTAATTACTAATGATAACAGTCCTGAACACTTACTGAGCATTTGCTCCAGGCACATATTAAGAGCTTTACATAGATCACTTATTCTTCCTAACAATCCTGTAATGTCAAAAAAGTAGGCATTTTTCTCCCTGTCTTGCAGATTAGGAAACTGAGGCATAGACAGGTTACCTAGCTAGTAAGTAGTGGTTCTGAGATTGGAACCCTGGCAGAGCCCATGCGGAGACACTAAGCCTGAACCGTTAGGCCGGATGGCCTGGCACGTTTGTGAAATTGCCTTGAATTAGAACAAATGGGAAACTTATCCAAAACAAGTATTTATCCTAGTAACCTCATAGGCCATTCAATATGTAGGAAATGCTGTAGAACCAAAGACTCAAATAACTTGAGTCTTTTCAGCAGCTTGTTTGAGAACCTTTGGATGTTTGTCTCCTTCCACTGAGCAGAGCAGACCTTTCAACTTGGGTTTAAGCTAAATGTTCTGGCTAATGAACGAAGCTGCTAAGGCCACTTCTAGGAAAAAAGAACACGTCAGCATCTAGCATGATGCAACCTGAAATGCTGGCGCCCTTGCTGTCGTTCTTCCTACACAGAGCACCTTACCGACATCACAGAACCACCGAGGGGCCCCTCCTAGTCAGCTAAGGTACAAAACCACCCTGGCCAGGGCGCTTGGCTCCGCTGAGAATAAAAGCTATGCAGACTTGCCAGCTGGGGCGGTAAGTGTTGTTTCTTCTGCACTCTGGCTGGCTTGCAGGCCAGGACTCCTGCTGCGTGTATGCAAGCAAATGCAATCCTTGGCACTCTCCCAGGAAGCCCAGAGTTCTGGCTTTATACCCAATCTGACAAGAAAGGATTTGTTTTTTTCCCCCCTCCAAACCATTGCCAGGGAGATGAATTCTCATGAACCCCGTATCCGGAGTGAAATCTGGAAAACCCAGTTCAGAGCTTTTGATGAAGCTGCTACAGGGTATTTTAGCAGCAGATCCTGAAGTATTAAAGGGCTGTTGATAGGGAAAGTGAAGCTTGGGAGGCCCTTTAAAAAATGTGTGTGTGTGTGTGTAGCCAAAGGAATGGATGTCCACTGTAGAAAAATAAGAAAATATAGATAAGAAAAAATAAAATATAGATAAATCCCCTTTCATGGGATCCCATTTACTTGTACAATAAATCTTGTTTAATGCGTGAGGAGGAGCAGATTGAAGAGCACCTGGACAAAAGTTGCTAGGAACTTGAGTTTTCTACTAGAATGCTTAAGGAAGGTAACGTTTCCATACTTTCTTCCTTTATAAAATTGCTCATACAGTTAGCATTGAAATAAATTAAGCTGCACAGCCCTGCAGAAATAACAGAGTTGTCAGATTTTCCTAAAATGGTGAAGCTTGTTTCTTGGTTTGTGGCTAATGCCCCTGGCCACACTACTGACCACAGCTGGAGTCAGGTGATACCTGTATCAAAAACTGTGTGTGTGCTTCTTTCCCAGACACCAAATGGATTGCTTCTGACCCCGAGCCCACTGCTGTCCAGCATACATTTCTGGAGCAGCCTTAGTCCAGTTGCTCCACTGAGTCCTGCCCGGCTGCAAGGGCCAAACACGCTGTTCCAGGTGAGCATTTGGAAACGAACTTTTAAATGTGGAATTTCTAAGGGATGTGTTTCCCCAGTAAATCCTGCAAGGTAATATTTTCACTAAATGTAGGGCAGAGCTCACTGTTTACGTTTCCAAAAGGAATTCATGTTCACGTGGCTGCAAAAGGCTGTCTTCAGAGGCACGTATTGCCACTGAGGCGGAGTTCTCACGCCACATACCCATAAATAGAACAGTTAGTTCTTGAAGTGTTTTGGATATTTTCACTGACTATGAAAACTGGAAACTTATTAAGGAAAAAAAATTTTTAATTGTATTTTATAAAATCTCATAAAAGACTAATACTAATACATACAAATAAAAATATATAAATAAATACTAATCTATTAGTCAGCATAGTGACATCACAAAATAAATTGAAAAATAGTGAACAGCTTCTCCAAACTGTAATAGAAAAGTTACCTGCATAATTCTATGAATCAGAATCAAGTTCTTGTTCCCAAAAAAAAAAAAGCTTCCAGGTCATTTGGTTAAAAATGAATTAAGCCTCCGCTGTTTTATCTTGTAAAACTCCCTGTACTAGGTAAGCACATTCATTAGTCATTCCCACACTAGAATCCTGCAGTAGCATCACTTGCTATTGTGTGGAAATCAGTATTTCCTCTTGGAGAGGATTACTCTCCAAGATTACTTGGTGACCAAGTAATTACTCAGTGACCAAGATGTCACTGTTTGAATATGTGAATGTAGTATAGGAGGGATCCTAGGGACAGGATGAAGCGAAACTGGATAAAGTACAAACCCCCTCTTGACCTGATTCTCGCCTGGTCTTTCTCATTCACCCTGCATCCCACGTCTGCCCCCGCCCCCCAACATGGCTTACCCCAAGTTAGTTGTGGTTCTTTTGCTCTCGTTGCATCTAGCGCTTGCCACTTTGTATTCATCTCGCAATCTCCCCACTAAACTGTGGGCCCTCAAGAGGCCATCTTGTTTGCTGTGGTGTGCGCCTGGCATCTAGCACATTTCTTGGCACACAGTAAGTATCACTGGCTGACTAAGGAATGGATGCCTCAGCATTCATCAAGAGATGTCTAAGAAAGTTAAGTGTTGAAAAGATCAGGCCTCCAGTGCTTTTCTGAGTTGTTCATTTTGCTTGTCAAGTTTAATATCTACTTCTGTGCCATGGGCTGTACATGCTGGTATTTAGGGTCTCATTGGGAGAAAGGTGGAGCTAAAGAGGTTTTGATTACTATCTTGCTTCTCTGGTTTCCTAATAGGGTTGAGGTAGGGTGTCATGATGTGACTATATCCCTGGAGTAATCAGGTTTCTCTTCCTGGCCCTTCGTCTCATCACAAGAAATTGAGGATATGGTCATGCACAGCCAATGTGGTGATTCTTAGCCATTTTAACTCAGGCAAGGAAACAAAAACTAGAAATAGTGAGCAAAAACCAGTGAGCAAGTGCAGTATTAGGCAAGTTTTAGATTAGATTAGTAATCTTTTGGTGGGGGAACTAACAGACCTTATTTCCTGGAAGTCTCCAGATGGGAGCAGCAGAGAGTTCCCGAGTAGAGCAGAAAGGAGTTAGTTGTATGGTGCATATGTACAGCCAGCTCCATGGCGGTAGGGACTGTAATACTACTCTCTAATCCTAGAACCTAACACAGGGCCTCTCTAGGCTTCCCTAGATACTTGTGAATAATGAACGGACTCTTACTTCCCTCCTTACTGGGAATTCTGCCACCTGACTGGTGCAGGGCTTGGTGACCTCCGAAGGAAGCCATGGAGAACTACTGGTTGGGAGTTCTTTGAGATCTCTTGCCTTAGACACTAAACCTTTTCCAGCCTGTTACTCCCAACAGAACAGTGGTTCGTGTCCATAGTGATTCTACACATTAGTAGGGTATCAGGAGCTATGGGAATTGAGAGATCGGCATATCCCTCCTCTTCAGTCACTACTGTAGACCAGTGGTTCTCAAAGTTAACGTGCAACAGAATCAGCTGGAGGGTGGGTTAAAATGCAGTTTGCTGAGCCCCACCCCCCATTTCTGATTCAGAAGGCCTAGGATGGGGCCTGATAAAAACATTCTTTCAAGTTCCTAGTGATGCTGCTGCTCCAGGAACCACACTTTGAGAACCACTGAGGACCAGCGGTTCCTAATTGACATTTAGAATTCTGCAGAAGAAATGCTGCATTTAAAGGCTACCTGCTCAGAATTTTGATTTCACAAACTGGACCTGTCCTCTTCTCCTGGAACCATGCAAAACAATTCCTGAAAAGGAAAGTGCAACCAGGTTTGGATGGCTGACAGGTCACATGGCCTTGGGCCCTCTTTTTGGGATTGGGATCCATGAGACTAAGGAAAAACAATTTTGTACCTTTTAGAGTATTATTACTCTTCCTATGATAAGAGCATTGAGCTGGTGAAAGCTGAAATTAGCAGTTTTGAAAATGGTAAACAACATGGTAAGAAGAAGAAGAAGAATTTGATTTTTAATAATTAGACATTTCAAATGATGGGTTTCAGAATTCAGATTAGTATCAACAGTGCCCCTTTTTAAACTAATGAAAATAAGTTTCTTTAAAAATAGCAAGCCTCTATCACATATGCTATGTGAATGTGTTAGAGGAGGAAACAAATTAGACTTGGCCTATAGTAAGTTTTAAGTGATGCTGGCAGATTTCCTGCTATGATGATTAGAAAAGATCAGAATCCTTAGGGTAACAGTTGACAGAGCTGAGGGGTTTTGCCACAGAAGGTCCCCTGATATTACTATAGTAATTGAGAGCAGATACTGAAAATTTTAAGGGAAGGAGAGTGAAGATATATCACCCTTTCTAGAAGAGGTATGCTTTGGAATCTAGACACGTCTTAGTGAAGAGAGAGATGCCAGAGACATTGTGCTAAATGTAAATATACAACCTGGATTTATAAATAGAGATGGGTTACAACTGGACTGTTTAGCATTTTAAGCTTGTCTTTAGGATGTCTGTTCCACTTCTGAAACAGATTTTGATCAGATTTGGAATACACCTAGTCGGTACAGCCATATCTTGAAACAAGGTAATTTTCAATTGAGAATGTTTTCTGTAATTTTTAAGTCAACAAATCTAACCCAGCAAATATTTGCAATGCTCTGAGGCAGGGACTGTGGGGATATACAATATGTGAATAATAGATGTGTAAACGAAGTGCTACAGGAACCCAATAGGAGTAGCTCTTTCCAGCTGGGGACTGGACAGAAGCTCCAAGGCAGAAGTGTCACCTGAGCTAGGAAGAAGGGACAGGATTTTGGCAAAGTATATTCTAAATGAATAGATCTGTATCATTTGGATATGAAAGTACATAGTCTGTTCTGGAAGGAACTGGGTGATAGGAGACTGGTTGGAAAAGCAGCTGTGGGATTTGAATAGTATACCAAGGAGTTGTTAAGTGATAACCATGGAAGGCTTTCTAAGCTGGAAATAGCATAACATCTCTATTTTAGAAAGATAGCGCTGATATCACAGTGTGGAGAAAGGACAGAAGAGAAAGCGTAAGGGGCAGGAAAACATGAGGAAATTTATACTATTCCAAATTCTGAGGGAAGAATCATCTTTTAGATAAGAACAGTTGAAAACAGTAGTATATTTAGAAGACATTCCAGAGGTAAAATTGAGAGGAGGACTTAGTTGAGTGTAAGAAGTAGGTAGTGAAAATTAGGAAGAGGCAAGGATTACTCAGTGATCAGAAGACTGGGAATGCTATTGATAACAATAGTTACCATTTTTTTGAGGGCTGCTGTATACCAGACATTGTTCTAAGCACACTTTTTCATGGCTTTTTATTTAATAGTCCCGGTAGTTCTATTTGAAAATATAACCAATTTCACGAGAAAAAGAAAAGATAAGGAAGGCCCAGAGATGTTGCTCAACTTACCCAAGATCACATGTTAATAAGTGGCAGAGCCCTGATTCATGTTTAGGGTTGAGCTCCTTAACACCACTCTTCTTGACGTAAGAGTGAGTGGGGAAGCGGCATTGGTGGGGATATCTAACTGACATCAGGAAATGTTTGTTGAGTCCAGTATAGGAGAAAGGAAGGCTGAGGACAAAAGTTGGGGAATGCTGTAATTTAAGAAAAGGGACTGTGTGTGGATGATTTGGGGGGGGTGGGGCAATAAAGAGGACTATGAAATATGTCAGAAAAGCCAGGCTAACCAAGAAGAAACTATGACAACTGAGTGTATAGAAATAAAGAGCACAGGACAGAAATCAGTAACAAAACCAAAGCTGATTCTTTTGAAAATACCAATAAGATGGACAAAAACTGAGAGAAGATGTAAATAAACTCAAAGAATGAAAATTCAAAATCTGCTCTTCTTCCAATGTTCACTCTTAATCAATGGGAATAGTGGTTAGGAGCACGCCTTAAATAAAAAGAATATAAGCTAAATGCAAATAGACTTGATAACCCAGCTGAAATGGATAAAATTCTATGTAACATTAAAATTCCAAGTGTCAGGAAAGATACAAAAACCTTGAATATAACCATTAAAGAAACTGGAATAGTAATTAAAGAGCACCATCCCCCAACCCCTGACAAAAATAAGTTGGGCAGTTTGGTACAGAAAGCACAGTATCCTTCAGTCAGAGTTTAAACTTGGCTTTACTGCTTCTAAGCTATGACCTTCAGCCAAACAGAACTTAACTGAAATCCGTTTTTCTCATCCATAAAATGGGGATAACCGAACTTTTATAGGCTCTAGATATCAAATGAAATGACAACCACTGATAAACTGTAAGGGGCTAGACACATAACAATTACTGAAATAGTCTGAAAATTGCAAAAATATATTTACTTGTTCTACAAATATTGTACTTCTAACACATGCCTGGCTCTGTAGTTTGACACTTACTGATGAAGTGAAGTTTAACATTTAGCTTATCTAGACTAAATAGGAATTAAACTAGAAGACAGCCCAGGAGAGGAGCATTGTGACACATAGCATCCTGGACAATGAAAACCTAGTTTCCAACAGTTTTAAAAGGTCTTTAATTATTTCGTTAAAATGAAATGGGAGTATAGCTGCTGTATTTTAGACCTGAAAGGTATCAAATCATATACCTTTGTCCTATTTATCATCCTAGTTACCAACAAGACAAATTAACTTTAGTCCTTAAGTTTTGGCACTTATGGGTGATCTCTCTACTCAGTTTGATATTGTTTATCATTTTAATTAGAAAGAATACTTAAAAGATTTAGAAAATAATATCTTTAAAGATAAGAACCTTCCTCATTTTTAACAGTTACCGAGAAGCATCATTGTAGTACTCTGGAAAACTGACAGCCAATTTCAAAATACAGTATGAGAAGTTACTGATTTACATGCAAAGAGTCAGTTTCCTGGTTTTCAAAATTAATTTTTCTTAATATTTAAAGCAAATTATCATTCTGAGTAGATTGGAATCTTTTAGAAATAGTATTAGAACATACTTTAGCAACATATAAAGTACATATTTTTTTCTAGTAGCCTAGGCACATAAAACAATTAGGGACATTTCCTAAGCCTTAGCCTCTGTTTGCTGTATGTAACCCTTGATTTCATTGTCATCTTCCAATCACACATTCTGTAAAATGATTGGCAACTGACCTCTATCAATCACAGGGGTGATGAGAGAACTGATCCACTATGGTCTGTCTAGGAATGTAAAGAACTCAGGTCTTCCCGATGGATTTGCAATAACTATTTTAAAAAATCTTTTGTCCACTACAGTTCCCTACACTGCTTAATGGCCACATGCCAGTGCCAATCCCCAGTCTGGACAGAGCTGCTTCTCCAGTACTGCTTTCTTCGAACTCTCAGAAATCCTGATGACATCTGGCCACAATTAAAGACTCATTAACTGATGAAACAAATTTGTCCCCATGGGCTAGTTTACCTGTGTCATGAGAAGGACGTTGTGAAACCCGTCTGTTAATTTGGTTTGCACTTTTCATAACATGGATGGTCTAGATTTATGTTACCATTTTAAAAACTTTTTTATATTCAAGTATATATGAAAATCTGTTTTGCATTAAGTGAATTTTAATGTTTTTGTTTTTTATATCTTCTTAGCTCTTAAGTGTTGAACACTGTTGACAGTGAAGAACTTTTCTTAATGGTTTTCAATGTAACTAATAAGGATGTGAAGCTTTTTTCCTCTTTAATTCTGCATATGCTGAACTGTGCTTATATACACTATAACCAGCTGTGCCTTCCTTTGCATTTAGTTTAATGTAAATGATTTATATATTTTTTAGTATTAAGAGAAATTGAAAGACAAAAATTAGTATCAAACAGCTCTCTAGTGGAATTTCATTATTTTTCACAAGTAGACAATATGAAAGCAGACTCATATTCTTTTTTGCTTTCAACTGTATGAGAATTGCCTTAGGACCTCTTTTGAACTGAAATTCAGTGAATATAATGTCCAAGTAATGTTTTTATAAGAAAAAAACTAAGCCATATTTAGACAATAAACTTTCATAAAAGAAAAGAAAATATTCTAAAGTGCATTTTTTGAGAAATGAACGTTGAAAGGCTAGCTTCCTGTTTACAATCTTTTAGACTCCTTCCAAACAAAAACCTGAGATGGAAAAGCTATAAAGTTCACTCTATACATGCCCCTGGAATATTTCCTAGTTTAGCACATTCTTGTTTAAAAAAATTAACCTGGTTCTCCCAGTTTTCCATAGAGAATCATACCTCTCTGATGCATTTACTGTATCATTATGTTAGGGTTTCTCTAAACCCCTGAAACTATAATTAACATTTAAAAATCCTATGCTTTGGAAGAGGTTCACAGACTGGTGATGAATACAAATAACAAAGAAACAATTTTGTAGAAACAATTTTGTAACACCAGGTGTCTTCATGTGTATAGGTATAGCCTTGCTTGTGGAAATTGAGAGGTGTAGGATACACTGCTTTATGTATTACTGTTTATGGTGAGAATGAAGGAAAACTGATCAAAGAAATATAAAATTCTTCAGGAGCCTCATCATTGTGGAACTGAACTGATTATATAACAATTTGGAATACTCAGCAGTAAATTCTTCTGTGCAGTGTAGTTTAGAGCAATGATAATAGAAACATATTTTCTGTTCCTTCAAAAAATCACCAGGCACTAGTCTACAGTGCCACTCTGTATATGAAGTAGTAAAGTTCTAATGTAAGATAAAAGAACTGGAAAGTGCCCAGTGCTTCCAATTCAAGATTAAGTTAATTATCATCCTTAACTATAACAGAAACCAATTTGAAATGTGGCTAAATAATTCATTGATCCAAATGAGGCATTAAATGGCAGGGATTATGAGAAAGGGTAAAAAATAAAGGTTGCCAAAACAAATATTTCTTGAATTTTCAGGAAATCTAAAATTTTGTTTTGACACTTACAAAGTGAGATTTTCAATTGGAATTGAGCATCTCTGTGTTTGGGGATGTATGCCCTTATCTGAGGAAAAAAATCCAAACACTCCAATATGCATCTTTGAATATAAAATAATGGGCCTGGTTCCAAAAATCTCCAAATAGACACTACTGTCACTCCCTTATAGGCTAAGGATAATTCTGTACATTTAAAATAAAAGCTGGTCCAGGGGACTGGTATTCACCAAACATAAAATGTTAGAAGAGGCCTTTGAGAATGCATCCAACCACCATTTCCAGGTAAGGACAACTGCACAGGAGAAGTGGGAGTTGCCTAAGGCTACATAGTTCATTAAAGGTAGAACAATGATTGGTGCTCAGTCCAGTTCTAGTTCCCCATGCCTAGCTATAGGTAACTACTGGTCCAAAGCTGTATGTTAGGTAGAAAAAAACAAAAAAAGAGCATTAAAAAAAAAAACCCTGTTTTGTCAGATAAGAGCACACCTCAAATTCAAGATTCTCACAGAGAAACTAAGTCAATGTGCAAAAACCTCAACCAAAAATATTATTTTAAATGTAAATGTTGAATGTAAATCTGATTCTTGTACTCCCTTCCTCCAAATACTATGATTAACATACACTCTAGCTCCACTTATTAGAAATGGAAAAATACAATAATTTTCGATGGATCAAAAAACTCACTATAACACAAATAGAGAAATGGAGGTATTGAAGTATAACACTTATAGCTCTGACTCATTCTGTGTGTTGGGTTGGTTTGTTTGTTTTTTTAAACAATTATTTTAGTCAGAAAATAGGTTTCAAAAAACGTAAGAAATAACTTTGTTTCCCCCTTTTTATATGTTTGCTTGATCAGTGTTAAAATGCTATGTATGGTAAAGTTTTATAGATCTATAACCTAAACGTTGGTCTCTTTGTACACATCTTTTCTATGACTGCAAATCTTCATTCAACTTTCATATATGTATCATTTTTACTGTTATTTTTGTTCAATAAATACTTTGTGATAAAAGGTGTGAAGAGGCAAGTGGATTGGTTTACTTCCATTTACTTGGGATGATCCAAATTCCACCATTCTATAGGGTGTAAGTTGGAAAATGAATTGTTATCTAGCTAAATATTGCACATCGAGACACACTATGTATATATAAATCTTATTTAAACACAGATATTTAAGGAAACAAATATACTTATTGAGGTTGAGTTGGGTGGAAGGGAATGGATTTGAAAAGTGGTCCTGTGATCTCTTAAATATGAAGTTCTATCTGTCATTCTGTACTGAGATAGGGAGGTAAGGAGAATGGGAAAAACGAAATTACCATTTATTCTTTTAGCTACAAATAATATCAGGAAATTAAAGCCATCCCACGTTCATGGATTAGAGCACTTAATATTGTTAAGATCACAATACTACCGAGAGTGATCTACCAATTCAATGCAATTCCTATCACAATCCCAAAGAAACTTATTTTCCCCAGAAATAGAAAATCCCATCCTAAAATTTACATGGAATTTCAAGGAACCTTGAATATACAAAACAATCTTGAAAAAGGAAAACAAAGGTGGAGGACTTACACTTCTTGATTTCAAAACTTATAAAGCTACAATTAATTAAAACATTGCGGTACTGGCAGAAGGACAGAGATGTAGACTGAGAGAACAGAATTGAGAGCCCTGAAATAAACCCTCATACCTATGGTCAACTAATTTTCAACATGGATGCCAAGACCATCCAGTGGGAAAAAGACAGTTCTTTCAACAAGTAGGGCTAGGAAAACTACATACTCATATGCAAAAGAATAAGGTTGGACATTCACTTTACACCACAGACAAAAATTAATTCAAAATGGATCAAGGCCCTAAATGTAAGCGCTAAAACTATAAAACTCTTAAAATGGGGGAAAATATTCATGTTCTTGGATTTGGCAATACCAACTTAAATATGCCACCAACACCAGAGGCAACAAAAGAAAAAATAAACTGGACTTCATTAAAATTAAAAACTTCTGTATATATCAATAGGACATCATCAAGAAAGTGAACACAACCCACAGGAGAAAATAATTACAACTCATATACCTCATAAGGGTCTAATCCAGAATATATAAAGAACTCCTACAACTCAACAACAAAAAGACATCCAACCAAATTTTAAAAAGGGCAAAGGACTTGAATAGACATTTCTCTAAAGCAGATACACAAATGGCCAGTAAACACATGAAAAGCTGCTTAACACCCAGTCATTAGGAAAATGCAAATCAAAACCACAATGAGACACCACTTCACAGCTATTAGAATGAATATAATGGGAGAAAATTTAAAAAGCAAGGACGAGGAGAAACTGGACCTCATATATTACTACTGAGAATGTAAAATGGTACGGTCACTGTAGAAAACAGTTTGGCGGTTCCTCAAAAAGTTAAACATAATATTACTAACTAACCCAACAATTCCACTCCTAGGTATATAAAACCCAAAGAATTGAAAACAAGGGTTCAAACAGATGCTTGTATACCAGTGTTCATAGTGACATTATTTACAACAGCCAAAAATGGAAAAAAACAGTGTCTATCAACAGATGAGTGGATAAGCAAATGTTGTATAGTCGTACAACGTTATTCAGGCATGAAAACAAATGAAGTTCTGACACATGCTACAACATGGATGAACCTTGAAAACATCATGCAGGTGAAATAAGCCAGACACAAAAAAACAAGTGTGCTATGATTCCACTTACATGAAATATCTAGAATAAGCAAATTCACAAAGACAAAAAGTATTGGATTGGCCAAAAACTTCGTTCAGGTTTTTCTGTATAACATCTTACAGAAAAACCCAACCGAACTTTTTGGCCAATCCACGATATATGAGAGGTTACCCAAGAGCTGGGGAAAGGGGAAAACGTGGGAGGGTGGGGGTTAAATCTTAATGGGTACAAAGTTTCTGTTTGGAGTGATGAAAAACTTTGGAGCTCGACTGTGGTAAATGCTTTACAACACTGTGAACGTAATAATTAATGCCACTGAACTGTATACTTACGAAGTATAAAAATGGCAACTTTTATGTTATATGTATTTTACCACAATTTTAAAAAATAGTAAAAACAAAAACACACGCACAAAAAACAACCACATGAACTGTCTTGGGTCAAAAAGATCGTTATAACATGTTAACAAGTACTCTTTCAAATGTAAGCTGATAAAGCACCAAATAGAATGCAGCCACTTCTATATATAGAGTAACATATTCAGTGTGTTAACAACATCACTTGGAAGGAAAACAAAAAGGCATCCTCTCTTACCTTTAAGAACCTTGTCAGTTTAAGATGAATCACGTGTTCAAGGTTCAATATTTCTGAGTTTCAATTGTCTTCACTGCAAAGTTTTCAGAATCTGAATGGTGCTCAAGTATCAAAAAAAAATCAAATTTCTTAGTAAAATGAAGAAACATCCCCAGCTTTTCCTACGAAGAACAATTTTATGTAACTGCTGGATACAGTTCTTCACCTTTTATATGCAAGAATCAAACAAATGGATAACTATGTCAAATTTGCAACAAATATATCATGAATGAAATGAAAAATCTGACAATGATACTTAAAAGTGCTATCCTATAAAATTACAGTAAAGATTATTAAATGAATGGCCAGCACAATTATAAATTAATTGCCATTGACACAGTGAGACTTCATCATCTTAAGGAGATCCATTAAGAGAAAATGATCCCAGAGATTGGTTCAAGATGGCAGAGTAGAAGGACATGCGCTCACTCCCTCTTGTGAGAGCACCAGAATCACAACTAACTGCTGAACAATCATCGACAGGAAGACACTGGAACTCACCAAAAAAGATACCCCACACCCAAAGACAAACGAGAAGCGGCAGTGAGATGGTAGGAGGGGTGCAATCAATAAAATCAAGCCCCATAACCGCTGGGTGGGTGACTCACAAACTGGAGAACAATTATACCACAGAAGTCCACCCACTGGAGTGAAGTTTCTGAGCCCCACGTCAGGCTTCCCAACCTGGGGGTCTGGCAACAGGAAGAGGAATTCCCACAGAATCAGACTTTGAAGGCTAGCAGAATTTGATTGCAGGACTTCAACAGGACTAGGGGAAACAGAGACTCCACTCTTGGAGGGCACACACAAGGTAGTGTGCACACTGGGACCTAGGGGAAGGAGCAGTGACCCCATAGGAGACTGAACCAGACCTACCTGCTACTGTTGGAGGGTCTTCTGCAGAGGCGGGGGGTGGCTGAGGCTCACCGTGGCGACAAGGACACTGGCAGCAGAAGTTCTGGAAGTACTGCTTGGCATAAATCCTACTGGAGTCCGCTATTAGGCCCACCAAAGAGCCCAGTAGGCTCCAGTGCTGGGTCACCTCAGGCCAAACAACCAACAGGGAGGGAACTCATCCCCATCCATCAGCAAACAAGTGGATTAAAGTTTTACTGAGCTCTGCCCACCAGAGCAACAGCCAGCTCTACCCACCACCAGTTACCCACCATCAGTCCCTCCCATCAGGAAGCTTGCAAAAGCCTCTTAGATAGCTCATCCACCAGAGAGCAGACAGCAGAAGCAAGAAGAACTACAATCCTGCAGCCTGTGGAACAAAAACCACATTCACAGAAAGACAAGATGAAAAGGCAGAGGGCTGGGTACCAGATGAAGGAACAAGATAAAACCCCAGAAAAACAACTAAATGAAGTGGAGATAGGCAGCCTTCCAGAAAAAGAATTCAGAATAATGATAGTGAAGATGATCCAGGACCTTGGGAAAACAATGAAAGCAAAGATCAAGAAGATGCAAGAAATCTAACAATGACTTAGAAGAATTAAAGAACAAACACCTAGAAGAAGTAAAGAACAGAGATGAACAACACAATAGCTGAAATGAAAAATACGCTAGAAGGAATCAATGGCAGAATAACTAAGGCAGAAGAATGGATAAGTGACCTGGAAGACAGAATGGTGGAATTCACTGCCATGCAACAGACTACAGAAATAAGAATGAAAGGAAATGAAGACAGCCTAAGAGACCTCTGGGACAACATTAAATGCACCAACATTCACATTATAGGGGTCCCAGAAGGAGAAGAGAGAGAGAAAGGACCCGAGAAAATATTTGAAGAGATTATAGTTGAAAACTTCCCTAACATGGGGAAGGAAATAGCCACCCAGGTCCAGGCAGCACAGAGAGTCCCAGGCAGGATAAACCCAAGGAGAAACACGCCGAGACACACAGTAATCAAACTGACAAAAATTAAAGACAAAGAAAAATTATTAAAAGCAACAAGGGAAAACTGACAAATAACATACAAGGGAACTCCCATAATGTTAACGGCTGATTTCTCAGCAGAAACTCTACAAGCCAGAAGGGAGTGGCATCATATATTTAAAGTGATGAAAGGGAAGAACCTACAACCAAGATTACTCTACCCGGCAAGGATCTCATTCAGATTCAATGGAGAAATCAAAAGCTTTACAGACAAGCAAAAGCTAAGAGAATTCAGCACCACCAAACCAGCTCTACAACAAATGCTAAAGGAACTTCTCTAAGAAGTGGGAAACACAAGAGAAGGACCTACAAAAACAAAAACAAAACAATTAAGAAAATGGTAATAGGAACATACATATTGATAATTACCTTAAATGTGAATGGATTAAATGCTCCAACCAAAAGGCAGAGGCTGGCTGAATGGATACAAAAACAAGACCCATATGTATGCTGTCCACAGGAGACCCACTTCAGACCTAGGGACACATACAGACTGAAGGTGAGGGGATGGAAAAAGATATTCTATGCAAATGGAAATCAAAAGAAAGCTGGAATAGCAGTACTCATATCAGATAAAACAGACTTTAAAATAATGTTACAAGAGACAAGGAAGGACACTACATAATGACCAAGGGATCGATCCAAGAATAAGATATAACAATTATAAATATATATGCACCCAACATAAGAGCACCTCAATACATAAGGCAAATGCTAACAACTATAAAAGAGAAAATTGACAGTATCACAATAATAGTGGGGGACTTTACCACCTCATTTACATCAATGGACAGATCATCCAGACAGAAAATTAATAAGGAAACACATGCTTTAAATGACACAAAAGACCAGATAGATTTAATTGATATTTATAAGACATTCCATCCGAAAACAGCAGATTACACTTCCTTATCAAGTGAACAGCGAACATTCTCCAGGATAGATCACATCTTGGGTCAGAGATCAAGCCTTGGTAAATTTAAGAAAACTGAAATCATATCAAGCATCTTTTCCGACCACAACGCTATGACATTAGAAATCAATTACAGGGGAAAAAACGTAAAAAATACAAACACGAGAAGGCGAAACAATACATTACTAAATAACCAAGAGACCACTGAAGAAATCAAAGAGGAAATCAAAAAATACCTAGAGAGAAATGACAATGAAAACATGACGATCCAAAACCTATGGGATGCAGCAAAAGCAGTTCTAAGAGGGAAGTTTATAGCTATACGATCATGCCTCAAGAAACAAGAAAAATCTAAAATAAACAATCTAATCTTACACCTAAAGGAACTAGAGAAAGAAGAACAAACAAAACCCAAAGTTAGTAGAAGGAAAGAAATCATAAAGACCAGAGAAGAAATAAATGAAATAAAAACAAAGAAAACAATAGCAAAGATCAATAAAACTAAAAGCTGGTTCTTTGAGAAGATAAACAAAATTGATAAGCCACTAGCCAGACTCATCAAGAAAAAGAGGGAGAAGACTCAAATCAATAAAATTAGAAATGAAAAAAGATGTTACAACAGACACTGCAGAAATACAAAGCATCATAAGAGACTATTACAAGCAACTCTATGCCAATAAAATGGACAACCTGGAAGAAATGGACAAGTTCTTAGAAAAGTATAACCTTCCAAGACTGAACCAGGAAGAAATAGAAAATATGAACAGACCAATCACAAGTAATGAAACTGAAACTGTGATTAAAACTCTTCCAACAAACAAAAGTCCAGGACCAGATGGCTTCACAGGTGAATTCTATCAAACATTTAGAGAAGAGCTAACACCCATCCTTCTCAAACTCTTCCAAAACACTGCAGAGGGAGGAACACTCCCAACTCATTCTAGGAGGCTACCATCACCCTGATACCCAAACCAGACAAAGATACCACAAAAAAAGAAAATTACAGAGCAATATCACTGATGAATATAGATACAAAAATCCTCAACAAAATACTAGCAAACAGATTCCGACAACACACTAAAAGGATCATATACCATATCAAGTGGGATTTATCCCAGGGATGCAAGGATTCTTCAATATATACAAATCAACCAATGTGACACGCCATATTAACAAACTGAAGAATAAAAACCATATGATCATCTCAATAGAAGTGGAAAAAGCTTTTGACAAAATTCAATACCCATTTATGATAAAAAAAAAAAAAAAACTCTCCAGAGAGCGGGCATAGAGGGAACCTACCTCAACATAATGAAAACCATATATGACAAACCCACAGCAAACATCATTCTCAGTGGTGAAAAACTGTAAGCATTTCCCCTAAGATCAGGAACAAGTATGTCCACTCTTGATACTATTATTCAACATAATTTTGGAAGTCCTAGCCACAGCAATCATAGAAGAAAAAGGAATACAAATTGGAAAAGCAGTAAAACTGTCACTATTCGCAGATGACATGATACTATACATAGATAATCCTAAAGATGCCACCAGAGGGCTTCCCTACTGGCGCAGTAGTTAAGAATCTGCCAGCCAATGCAGGGGATATGGGTTCAGGCCCTGGTCCGGGAAGATTCCACATGCCATGAAGCAACTAAGCCCATGCGCTACAACTACTGAGCCTACGTGCCACAATTACTGAAACCCGCGTGCCTAGAACCCGTGCTCCACAACGAGAAGCCACCGCAATGAGTAGCCCCTGCTTGCTGCAACTAGAGAAAGCCTGCCCGCAGCAAAGACCCAACATAGCCAAAATGAATAAAGTTAAAAAAAAAAAAAAAAAGATGCCACCAGAAAACTACTAGACCTAATCAATGAATTTGGTAAAGTTGCAGGATACAAAATTAATACACAGAAACCTCTTGCATTCCTATACATTAACAACAAAAGATCAGAAAGAGAAATTAAGGAAATAATCCCATTCACCACTAAAACAAAAAGAATAAAATACCTAAGAATAAACCCACCTAAGGAGGTAAAAGACCTGTATGCAGAAAACTATAAGACACTGATGAAAGAAATCAAAGATAACACAAACAGATGGAGAGATATATCATGTTCTTGGATTGGAAGAATCAATATTGTGAAAACGACTATACTACCCAAAGCAATCTACAGATTCAATGCAATCTCTATCAAATTACCAATGGTAGTTTTTACAGAACAAAAAAACCTTAAAATTTTTATGGAGACACAAAAGATCCCGAATAGCCAAAGCAATCTTGAGGGGAAAAAAAATGGAGCTGGAACAATCAGACTCCCTTACTTCAGACTATATTACAAAGCTACAGTAATCAAGACAATATGGTACTAGCACAAAAACAGACATATAGATCAATGGAACAGGATAGAAAGCCCAGAGTTAAACCAACACACCTATAGTCAACTAATCTATGACAAAGGAAGCAAGGATATACAATGGAGAAAAGACAGTTTCTTCAATAAGTGGTGCTGGGAAAACTGGACAGCTACATGTAAAGGACTGAAATTAGAACACTCCCTAACACCATACATAAAAATAAACTCAAAATGGATTAAAGGGTTTTGCAGGTGGCGCAGTGGTTAAGAATCCACCTGCCAATGCAGGGAACACGGGTTCAAGCCCTGGTCTGGGGAGATCCCACATGCTGCGGAGCAACTAAGGCTGTGCACCACAACTACTGAGCCTGTGCTCTAGAGTCCACAAACCACAACTACTGAGCCTGTGTGCCACAACTACTGAAGCCCGTATGCCTAGAGCCCGTGCTCCGCAACGAGAAGCCACTGCAATGAGAAGCCCGCACACCACAACGAACAGTTGCCCCCGCTCACCACAACTAGAGAAAGCCCGCATGCAGCAACGAAGACTCAATGCAGCCGAAAATAAATAAATAAATTTAAAAAAAGAATTAAAGACCTAAATGTCCAGTCTTACACTGGACACTATAAAACTCTTAGAGGAAAACATAGGAAGCACACTCTTTGGCATAAATCACAGCAAGATCTTTTTTGACCCACCTCCTAGAGTAATGGAAATAAAAACAAAAATAAACAACTGGGACCTAATGAAACTTAAAAGCTTTTGTACAGCAAAGGAAACAAGACGAAAAGGCCCTCAGAATGGGAGAAAATACTTGCAAATGAATCAACGGACAAAGGATTAATCTCCAAAAATAGAAACAGCTCATGCAGCTCAATATTAAAAAAACAAACAACTAATCAAAAAATAGGCAGAAGACCTAAATAGACATTCCTCCAAAGACGACAAACAGATAGCCAACAGGCACATGAAAAGATGCTCAACAACACTAATTATTAGAGAAATGCAAATCAAAACTACAATGAGGTATCACCTCACACTGGTTAGAAAAGGTATCATCAGAAAGTCTACAAACAACAAATACTGGAGAGAGTGTGGAGAAAAGGGAACCCTCTTGCACTGTTGGTGGGAATGTAAATTAATACAGCCACTATGGAGAACAGTACAGAGGTTCATTAAAAAACTAAAAATAGAATTACCATATGACCCAGCAATCCCACAACTGGGCATATACCCAGAGAAAACCATAATTCAAAAAGACACATGTACCCCAATGTTCACTGCAGCACTATTTACAATAGCCAGGTCATGGAAGCAACCTAAATGCCCATTGACAGAAGAATGGATAAAGACAATGTGATACATATATACAATGGAATATTACTCAGCCATAAAAAAGAACGAAATTGGGTCAGTTGTAGAGACGTGGATGGATCTAGAGACTGTCATACAGAGTGAAGTAAGTCAGAAAGAGAAAAACAAATATCATATATTAATGCATATATGTGGAATCTAGGAAAATGGTACAGATGAACCGGTTTGCAAGGCAGAAATAGAGACACAGATGTAGAGAACAAACGTATTGACACCAAGAGGGGAAAGTGGGGTGGGGGTGGTGTGATGAATTGGGAGATTGGGATTGACATATATACACTAACATGTATAAAATAGATAACTAAAAAGAACCTGCTGCATAAAAATAAATAAATAAAATTGGAAAAAAAAAAGATCCCATTCTGCACAGCCTTCTTCCCCAAGAAAGAACTGTGACTCAACAAAACCACATTTTAACAACATGAAGATTTTGTTATTATAAATTTCAAAACAAAATGGAGGAATTTTCACATAATATTTATAACCTTCAAAGTACAATATTAATACATATCTGTCAGTTAGAAATAACAGCAGTTTGTTAGGCTACAGGGTTTAACATAAAACCAATTTACAAATGTGAAAAGCAGTAGTGGTCCAATATTCACCATTACACATGAATCTGTTTCTTCCAGAAAATTTTTCTTAAAAAATTAAAATTTCAGTATTATGAAATATTAAAATAACACCCCAAACATGCCACAATCACTATTCACAAATAAAATTAAAATGAAATATACAAAAATTCACTTAATACTGTTAAATAACAATAAACTACAAGATTTCCTGAACAGAAATGGTAGGACCCCTGAATGTTTTACAGTGAATGTCAGGAAAAGAATTAAGTTATGACTATTTTCATGATATATAAGCCCAAAATTTACATGACCATTTCAAAATATCGCAATTAAGATTTGCAGTTGGTAAGATGCACTAAACAAACAGTCCTTAAAAGTGAACACAAATGCTTAAAACACTGTTACCAACACCAAGGTGTATTTATGATGTTCAAAAAGATGCATAATTAAAACTGTAATATTTACTACCTCTGGTAAACAGATAATATCTATAATGCTTTAAAACAATCTTCCAAGTTCTCATTTCTCTCATTTGTATTTAGCATGGCTCATTTCAAAGACATATTACAGCTTTCAACTGATTCCAAGTGAATGTTATTAAAACACACACACACAGCTCCCAAATGAAATAAAACTGTTCCCCAATGATCATCCATTCTAATAAAAGAATTGTATTTAAAACAAATAAACAAAACAAGACCTCTGATGTTTGACTGGACTTGTATGGTTTAGTTTTAACTAAATTAAAGCACGATGTAAAATAGGTAAGTGTATTAGTATACAAATATCCAATAATATGCAGGAAATATTTCTAAAATGAGGAAAAATAAAAATAAATAATTTTGGTGCTTTAATTTACTGGTATTTAATACGAGATCCCCAAAATGTCAGATATTCACTTGCTTGAATCAACTTCTGCATCACATGCTTTCCTAAACATAATGTGCTTATCAATTTCTTACTACACTATTTGCCAATGTTCAATAAAAAAATTATATAGCATGAATGTAAGAGTGTTCAAGTTGGCTCACTTATTTTACTGTTAAGCAAAGCTGGATTTACATTCCAGGAAACACTGCAGTTTAATTTTAAAAACAAACAAAGAAAAAATGCAGCAGTAAAACAATTTGTGAGGAGAAACAGATGCATTCACGTATAATAAAGCCACTGCAACTTCTTCAGGCATTCAACTGTTGTGTTAAATAAACAGACAGTAGTTATTTAGCAGCAATGATTCCGCAATAAATAATGCATTGTGTTTCTCAGTCCTGCACAAAAATTGCAGCTACAGTTACATCAATAGCTGTAACCTACTGGCTCTAATGGCAGAGAAGACCTTAAAACCAACTGTACAAAAAAATTGTCACACTGTGACAACAAATATAAAAACAATTTGTAGGTCTGAAATAAAAAGACTCCACTGTGAAGAGGACAGTGTAGACAAACGAAGATTCCAAGTCCACCAAAAGAAATAATTGCCTTCAGATCTGAGTCCTTGATTGATAAGAAAGGCTGGGGGCTGGGCTTGAAACCATGTTACCAGACTTAAAAGAGCATGCTCTGTCTTCTGTTCTTCCCATGTCCTAAAATATAAAGTCATTTTATGAGGCAGTTCAACGTTCAGTTTTATCCCACATACAGTATTTGTTGACTCTATGAAGCTAATGTTCCCACCAGCAAAAGCTAATATTCCACGGTAAGAGTGATCAGCACTGTCTTAAATGACCCTTTTGTTGATGGGGTCAGTCTACAGCTTCTATGCTTCGAAGTGATGAACCTGATGACTAGGGAAGCACAAGATGTGTCTTCTGCCTCAGGTGCCAGGGATGGCGTGTGCAGTGATCAAGCCAGGCCACTTGTAAAAGGTCTTTGTGCCATCTGCAGCTTTCAGGATCCCTGATTTGACTGAGTCAGATTTCTCTCTGAAGAATTACTGAGCTGCCCATATCATACAGGAAAGTATGTGCAATGCTAAACATACACAGCTGTGGAATGCACTGTACATTGTTTTTTACATCAATAATTTTACCGATCAATTTATAAACCCAAAACTTGGTTCCACGCAAAATTTCATGATCGACACGTGAAATGGTTTATGACAAACACACCTGTCTCTGGATAAGAAGAATTTCGAAAACCCGGGTCCTTTTGCAATTGAATCTCTTTCAAACTGAATATTGATACACCTAAAATGCACAGACAAAAATTATCAGATGAAAGTCTATCATTAAAGCAAATATAATCCAACTATAGACAAAATATCTAAAAATGTATACTGATTCAACATGAATCATTTATACTACATTTACAAGGTTACAGCCCTGCTGAAATATTTTCCCTTTTGTCCCAATGTCTTAAGAAAACCAAACCAAATAACCTCTCCCTCAGAACCTTTCTCCCCCAATTCTGCCTTAAATCATGCTTTGAGTATGTGTTTCTCTAAGGAGAATGTACATTGTCTATTTCTAGGGCTTACTGAGGTTGGAAGACCTAATCAAAATGTATTACTCGGTTTTATTCTCTCTGTTCTTTATTTGTCTCCTTATGATGGCATGAAGGTCAAATCCTCAAACTATCTTCAGAATTTTAGAGAAAAACAAGAAATGGGTTTGTACACCTCACCCACACCTCAAACTATAAAACTTGGTATTAATAATGAAACGTAAATCTCTTAAAAAACACTTGTAACTCATCCTTCTTATTTCCATCTCTGCCAGAGAGGTAGTCTTTCATTAAAAAATATCCAGGGCTTCCCTGGTGGCGTAGTGGTTGCGAGTCCGCCTGCCGATGCAGGGGACACGGGTTCGTGCCCCAGTCCGGGAAGATCCCGCATGCCGCGGAGTGGCTGGGCCTGTGAACCATGGCCGCTGAGCCTGCGCGTCCGGAGCCTGTGCCCCGCAACGGGAGAGGCCACAACAGTGAGAGGCCCGCGTACTGCCAAAAAAAAAAAAAAATATCCAATAGGGGCTTCCCTGGTGGCACAGTGGTTAAGAATCCACCTGCCAATGCCAGGGACGTAAGTTCGAGCCCTGGTCCGGGAAGATCCCACGTGTGGCAGAGCAGCTAAGCCCATGTGTCACAACTACTGGGCCTGTGCTCTAGAGCCCTTGAGCCACAACTACTGAAGCCCTTGCGCCTAAAGGCAGTGCTCTGCAACAAGAGAAGCCACCGCAACGAGAAGCCCACACACCACAACGAAGAGTAGCCCCCGCTCACCGCAACTAGAGAAAGCCCATGCGCAGTAGAGAAGACCCAACGCAGCCAAAAATAAATTAATTAAAATATGTATATATCCAATAAGTTCTAAGTGAAAAGTCTTGAGGAGTCTTGATTCCAATTAGAAAACCTTTTAGTGAATCAATACTGTCTAGTAAATGAGAACGGGAAATTAATGAAAGCTTTTGGCTGTTCAGTTCCCAAATATTCTCTTAATTCCTCACTCACCTTGCTAATTTTTAAAAATTTATTTTTGGCTGCATTGGGTCTTTGTTGCTGCGTGCAGGCTTTTCTCTAGTTGTGGCGAGCCGAGGCTACTCTTCGTTGCAGTGTGCGGAATTCTCACTGTGGTGGCTTCTCTTGTTGTGGAGCATGGGCTCTAGGCACACAGGCTTCAGTAATTGTGGCACGCGGGCTCAGTATTTGAGGCGCATGGGCTTAGTTGCTCCGTAGCATGTGGGATCTTCCCAGACCAGGGCTCGAACCCGTGTCCCCTGCATTGGCAGGCGGATTCTTAACTACTGCGCCACCAGGGAAGTCCTCACCTTGCTAATTTTAAAGTAAAATATTGGGGTAATTTATAAGAAACTTCTGAGTAAAATCAAGCAGTTACCCCAGGCATGAGAAATCAGCTATTTTAGTGACAATATGCTCACCACTGTCATGGGGATGGTAAAGTCAGAGTGAACACAGTAAAGGAAAATCATCTTCACATCTTGAAAAAGAAATTTACTTCCACAAAAAAATCTTGTTTTGGTTGTGCTTCATTACTATTTACTTGAAATCCATTTTTAACAACTCTGAATCAAAGCAATCCAGATTGGGCCTAATGACAACGTCTATCATCAGATGGCATTTTCCACTTACTTAAGTCAAATAAGACTAATGACCCACATCTAAGTGCTACTGATTTCTTACAGAGTCGTGGCAATATACTCAGTGTTAAAAGAAATAAATTAAAACAGACAAGACAGACATACACCTCCCTTTAAGGAATTCTGATCTAATTACAGAAAGCCAGAATTTTAGGCTTAAAAACCAACCATCTTCCTAAATCCCTAATTCACCCCAGTCTCCAAACCTGGATAAAAATAAAGGGGGTGGGGGGACACACTCTAGAATCTCTCTTACTTTCAGGTAAAGCATGTATCCTTGGTCCCAGACTTCGAAAGTACACATGTTTCATGGCCTCTTCTGCTGAAACCCTTTTCTTAGATTCATACTGTGAGAAACCAAAAAACTGCTTCATTAATTTTTTTCTCTAAATACTGGAAAAAGCGTATGCAAGCGGGAGGGGACACACACACAAATTAGCATTTAAGCATTTAGAGCTACTCTTATCTTGATTACTTAATAGAGTGACTATTATTTTTAAGAACCAATTTGGAGTACTATGCTCTAATGTGAGTTACTACTGAGATTATGTAGCAATGATTATATCTCAGTTACAAATTTCCAAGATAAAGCTGGATCTTAACGAAAAATTTAGATGCCCTATATTTTCTGAAGTGATGAAAAAAAGCAAAATATCTGACCTTTCGTGTTACTTTTCTTCACGAATACCACAGTATTACTGGAAATATACCTAATACCTTTATGAAAGACATTATTAAATTACCTATTCAATACCCATCTCCCTTTTTTCCTTGACGAGATAATGTAGATTTGTTTAAGGTATACATGCTTCCAACTCTGACATATGAATCATGACTATTCTAAGTTTAGGCTAATTATGGCAATCCTGCTCCCCAATTCTCAGCCTCTCTTACAATTAATATTCTGGCCTTAGGAAGATTTTGGAGACCTAGGAAGAAGTCCTTACAGGGGTTTTTGGAAAAGCCTTTGCTTTCCAGATACAAAAGGATTAATGAGACTGACAGACTCTTATCCTCTCTCTTCTTCCTGTTCTGAATGAAGATATGGATGGTACTTGGGAGGTACAACAGCCTGTAAGGCAGTAAGTATAAGGAAAAGAAAGAGAACATAAGAGAACAGGAATTGCAGAGAACATGGCCTTGACACAGTTGATCAGGGCCAGCAGCTAACTACCTCAGACTGTTCTAGGTTACAATGAGAGACCCAGACACATTAAGAGAAACCATAATTGTTTTTCACCTAAGCACATGTCTTAAGAATGCTAGATACTACCATAATCTTATTTAATTGTCATGACAAATATTTGAGGGAGGTATTACTGATCCCATTCTACAGATGAAGAAACTAAAGCTCAGAGAAGTTAACAAACCATTTAACAATTATAAAATAAGATATAACTTACCTGAAGAAATTTTGTTATCAACTCGATTCCTTCAGAGTCTAACCTAAAAACGAAAGACAAGTAGCAATTTATTCTTTAATCTTAGCTGATAGCAACTTTTCAAATAAAACTATTTTCCAAATGTTGTTATCTGCTAAATTCAAGTGCCCTAAAATAGCACACCTTGCTGCTTTCAAACAGACTCAAATCTTTTATCCTTAGAAGATTGATCTTGCCACTTGTTTAAGAAGAAACCACAAATAACTGGGCATCAACTCAAATGTTCAATATTCAAGAGTTAGATTATTAAAACTACAGAATTTTTAAAAATCACCATTTTGTCTCAAAACAAAATAACCTCTATTATTGAAAAAGCTTCAGTAAACTAGATCTGTTTTCATAGTGTTTCAGTGAAGGCAAGAGTACAAAAGCATCATTTTCCTATTATACAGGTGAAAACAAACAGATAAGTGACCCCAAAATATATCACTGTGGTTCAAGATAAACAGAGATGAGTCATTCAACAAACTTTTACAGGGCAGTTGGCTGAGCATTGGGTACTACAAGCTATACAATTCAATTTAAATATGCCTCAATAACTTTATAAAACTTCATTAAAAAGGGATACAAAACCAATCAGATGGTCAATAAAGACAGATAATTACAAGGATGAAATTAATAAAATAGGGAGTAGAGGGTTTAGGGGTTATCTTAATGAGAAAATCTCTTGATCAGAAATCACTAATTCTACCTTGCACTGACTTTCACTGGCAAAAGTCCAATTATGGGGGAAAAAAAAAATCCCCCCCTTCCCCCCTGGTGCTTAGTCGGTACTGTGGATGCTGTGGCGTAGAAATTCTACAGAGTCTTCTAATCCTTTGCAGTTTGCCATTCTGACAAATAACCAGAACTCCTTGGCCATAGAAAAGCTAGGTGCTAAGGTCATAAAGAATGTGCTTTAAAGAGCTGCAACCTTTTACACTGGACATTACAACATATATACATATGTATACATATATATATGTTGTAATGTCCAGTGTAAAAAAATATATATATATATGACAAAAATAGGATTTATGCTATTTGGGAGAGACACATACAAAAAGTCTAACACATTATTCTTCCTAAGAAAGTCTAATTAGAATATTCTTAGTTGCTATAGTGACAAGAGCATCGATTCACATAAAAACTTTCAAAATATTTTTGGTACCAGAATGTTTTTACTATTCTTCCCTATCTTGAGAATAAATGGAACTAGAGTGAGTGTGTTATGTTGTGAGCTATGTGAAACAACGAAAGAGATATTGGCCTTATTTGGTATCCTGGTGCCCTTCTCATTTTTATTTTTTCTTAAAGATGAAAAAATACAGTCAAAGGGGTTATTCTATGTTACTTATTGAAAATGTAATACATTCCATAAGTAAATATGTTGTGAAAAAAATTTTTTAAATAAATATTTATTTATTTTTGGCTGGGTTGGGTCTTCGTTGCTGCACGTGGGCTTTCTCTAGTTGCAGTGCACGGGCTTCTCATTGCAGTCGCTTCTCTTGTTGCGGAGCATGGGCTCTAGGCACATGGGTTTCAGTAGTTGTGGCATTTAAGCTCAGTAGTTGTGGCTCACAGGCTCTAGAGCACAGGCTCAGTAGTTGTGGTGCATGGGCTTAGTTGTTCTGTGGCATGTGGGATCTTCCCGGACCAGGGCTCAAACTCATGTCCCCTGCATTGGCAGGCAGACTCCCAACCACTGCACCACCAGGGAAGTCCCCTGACTCAAACTGTAATGGGAATCTTGGATGGATCTGAGGTAGGTCTGAAAAGAAACTTTAATCAGATGGCCAACATATAGGATATGAAGGGTCAGAAAGAGTTTATATTCTTCAAATACAAATTGTCATTCATTGACTGAAATGCTGATGGGTCATCTTGTGTAGGAGTCAAGATTTTACTTATAACACATTCTTAGGTTTTTCTAAGTAAATACATATAGAATAATTGTGTAGACAGCAAAGCAAACTTCATCATGGTCTTCACAGTATTGAATAAGGCATTAATCAATGTCTTCTTTCTGGGAAATGGAACAATCTACATAAGCCCTAGAATTTTATTATATATATTCTATATTCATTTTATTTACAGCTCAATTCTGTGGACTTACATACTTTGGTAGTTCTTGCTCACTGAATTATAAAATTAATATGACACAGGAAGGAAGAAATTAAATCCTAAAATATTTAAGAACTGTGTATGTGTATCACATATTTTCCCATGAATCCTTACTGTGGCTAATGCTTCAAGAGACTAAAAAAAAAAAAAAAAAAATGAATTACCCCCCCCCCTTTTAATTAAAAAGGAAAAAAAAAAAATACCTGGGTGCATGGTTAATTAGAGGCTGTGGTTTATATTTTGGAAAGTTGTAGTTCTTGAACTCATCATTTGAAGAAACACCTGGCCAAGTTTCCTGAGATGGAGTTCCTGAATTTAAAAAAATATATATTTGTAAATATATAGAAATTTTTATACAGGCAAATACATATAAATAGGGAGAACTAAGAAAGCGTCTTAAAGAACAATTTATATTTAGTAGATAATTTGATTATTTCAACTGAAACTAAAAAGATAGAAATAGTAATCATACAGACTTTTTTTTTTGGACTAAGCAATGATGCCATAAAAATGTTGTCTAATTGACACCTAAGCTAAAATATTTCCTAATAATGTGCTAAAAGTCAATTTTCAATAATATTTCTCTTCTCTGTTCTTCCATACAATCATTATTGCAAAGGTAGAACTTGGTAAATAAAAAGCAGAAGTTATCTAGAAGGATCTATCTTTATTGTAATTATGCTCATTATAATTCTTATAACATCTATTTATGTTAGTCTCAGTATCAAATTTATAAATATATTTTTTAAAGATATAGTCTTATCTAGCTACTCAATTATACGTAACAAATCACTGGGAAGAGAGTTCTGTTACCTAGCAGTCGGAAAATTAAGTGCAGTTCATCTTCCACAGTTGATCCTGGAAACAGAGGTCTTCCAGAAGCCATTTCAAAGAAAATGCAACCAACACCCCTATAAAATGTAGCATTAAAAAAAAAAAGGAAAAAAAAAAGATGAGCAAACCATTTATTTATTATTAAGCACAAGAATCTTTTCCTTAAGGTTGCCTCTCTGGAGAATTTTGTACTAGCCTGCTAGAAAATCTGCAGAGATTTTTCTTCAGATCCAACTAAACTAATTTCTTAACATTTACCCTATTTGTCTCAACTTCCATACTGCCTTATCCATTTTCTCCACTTAAAATGTCCAGCCCTCCTCTGCATGATCCTTGAAGAACACCACTAACAATGGCTAATAGTGATATAAAGCTTACTATGTATTAGGCAGTGGTTAGCAGGGCTAGGGAGAAGCAAGTATTTCAAGATGTTTTTATGCAGGAAGCAGAGACGGAACACACAGATGCAGAGTGAAGAGTGTGTGAGTGTGAGTGACAGCGAGAGTGAGAGAGCGAGAGGGAGAGAGTTAAGAGAAGGAAGAGAAATGGATAGAGGCTCGCTAATAGATACTGTCTTCTAGGATCTGTGTGAATACATATGAGTTTAAGACACAGTCCTTCTTTTAAAGGGCTCACAATCTAGCAATTATATAATAATTTTATATTTTAAATGTTATACAGAAGATTAAATAATGGAGCCACTATGGAAAACAGTATGGTGGTTACTTAAAAAAAATGTAAAATAGAATTACCATACGATCCAGCAATTCTACTTCTAAGTATACAAAAGAATTGAAAGCAGTGACTCAAAGAGATATTTGCATCTACAACATGGGTGAACCTTGAAGACATTTATGCTAAGTAAAATAAACCAGTCACAAAAAAACAAATACAGTATGATTTCACTCATGAGATACTTAGAAAAGTCAAATTCACAGACACAGAAAGGAGAATGGTGGAGGGAGAGGGTAATGGGGAGTTACTATTTAGTAAGTACACAGCTTCAGTTTGCAAGATGGAAAAATTCTGTAGACTGATGGTGGTGACGCTTGAACAGCAATGTAAATGTACTTAATGCCAGAGAACTGTACACATAAAATGGTTAAAATGGTAAATTTGGTTGTATATATTTTTCTACAATTTAAAAAAGTTTATAAAAGAAAGAAATGTTACATAATACAAAAATTAATTATATAAATGTTCAACCCAAGACAAAACAGAACGAAGTATATGATTTATCACTATACGAAGAGTGCAAGCAATAAGTATAACCACAGTTCAGAGGAAGGAATTACCACAGCAGGCTAGGTTATATTCAGGAAGGATTTATGAAAAACTATGTTTTGAAGGCCCTAGGCACAGGCCCCAGTTATAGAAAAAGAGCAGGCATTCCAGATGGGTGAACTAGTATGAACACAAGCACAAAGGTGGGAAAACCCAGGCTATTTATGAAATATAGTGAGTAGCCACTTGGCTAAAAGGAAACGTTTGTGGAGAATAGTCTGAAATAAACTGAAAAAGGTAGTTTAGAGACATTTTATGAAGATCAAGTATCAGATTGAAGAACTGTACCTTATTCTATAGGTAATAAATGGGGAAGCAGCAAACATGTTTAAATAAAGGAGTGTCATGATCAAAGTGCTATGTGAGGAAGACGCCTATGGTATTTTTTCAATATTATTTTTAGATCAACTTAAAGCAAGTGGGTTTTGGTGAATATTAAATGATGATAAAAATAAATTTTGTCTTAAATTACTATGTACCAGACACTCTTCAAAGTGCTTTACATACATTAGCTCATTTGGTCTTAACATTATCCACAGAACAGCCTTTTAAAGTAGTTATTGTTACTATTCCCATTTCCTTAAATGAGGAAACTGAGGCACAGGCCAATAATTTCAGTAAGGTTATCGTATAGCTATAAGTGGTTGAACTGGTATTTAAACCTAGGTGATCTTACTTGCCAGAACTCTTAATCGTTGCTTATATTTTATCTCCTTAAAGCCAAATATCTATCGGTACGCCCTGTGTTAATGGCTACATTCTTTCAAAATTATAAATGGCAGTAAATCTGCATATATTTACCACATGTCAATCTGTGTTGAGTACTCTGAGGAACCGAGAAGCACATCAGGCGGCCGGTACCACAGTGTGACAACTTCATTTGAGTAGGTCTTTGTGGGAACTGACTTGGCTCTGGCTAGTCCTTCACAGGGAAAAGAGAACAATTAAGAAATAGCTGGAATGCATTTCCCAGTCCATATTCTCACCATGACTCCAGTCACAAGGATGCCTGAGATGGCTACTCTATACCTTTTTGAGGCTTAACAAAATTAGTTTTATGAATTTTTTTTTTGAGTGTGTGTGGTCTTGGGTCAGCAAATCCTATTATTTATTAAACTAAATAATAATAATTCCACATTCAGAGACCATGCTTACTTTTATGAGTGAATGCACCTGGTACAGTATCTGGGCTAATCAAAACTTAGATACCCTCCTTCTACCCACGAATTATTATGCCAAGATTATTTCCTACTTGGATTTAAGTTAATGCAAAACAGGCCAATGACATTTGTCACCTTTTAACCTGATTCCAACTTCCATTTGCTATATCAGTTCTTACCAAAAACCATGAAGTTACTGGTTCATGATCCTGTTAAGTTTTATTGACAATTCCCTTGCAGAAGTTTATATTTAGAGAAAGTTTCCTTGGAATAAACTACAATGTCATTCTGTACTGTTTTAAGTTACATGGTTACATTCTGTTTTAAGTTACATGGTTAATTTTAAAATAAGGTGAACCTCACTGTCTTTGGATATTAATTGCTGTAGATGATGTAAAACACGAACCATTCCTTTGCCAATTTAATATGAAATTCACTGATTATCTAGAAATAAAGGCAAGAGTTCACAACTTTATCTCTTGAGCCACTGGCGTTAAGAGAGTTGCTTTTATTACCTCTACGCCTCCAAATTCTGATCACCTAAAGAAGTAACTGTAAAAGATATATGAAGAAATATAAATTTATTTTAACATACAGTTTATTTCAAACAACAAGGAATAATTAATTTTTAGGCTGTGATTTCTGTTGTGTGTAACTATTGTATCTGATTAAAATATTAAATAAGAAAAATGTAATAAAAGGATGATTCAATACTTTGTTAAACTGGATAAAGTCACCCAAATGAAACCAGAAATTTAAAAAATTAGGCAGTACTCATACTATTTTCATTAAGTATAAGGGCTAAAGGAAGTAACTGAAACAATGTTGACACTGTTTTATTACAGGTTTTACTCTACCATTCCAACTTGGTAAAATAAATTCAACAAATTTCGGTAATTAGCAAATGGAAGCAGCTTTCTGATTTCTCTTCCTGATGTAATACTGGGTTATATGGGGGAAAGGACAAGGCTGCAAGTTGCTAATGCTATACATATAACATCAAAGCAATTGCAGTTATAGTTTCCTCAGTACCTTATACTCCATCTCCTGAGAGAATTCTAAACTATGATGCTTGCTCATACAGCCTTCTGATTCAGTTCACAATTAGATTTGCAATTTTGGCATGAAATGAAATACACAGTAATTTCTTCCAAACCAAATTAATTGTGATACGGTATTATTATATAAACCATTTTCTATTATTAATGAAAATGTCTATTTATATTAATACTTCCCTGATCACAGGAAAAGTAGGTCATAGAGATCAAGAACAATTTGTTGTAAAATACTCAGTTATATGACTCTCCCTTACTTGTGTCCGAAGTATACTTACTATGAAACCAATAAAAAAATAAATAACTAAAAGCAACAGAGACAAAATTCATTGTACCATCTCATGGAATAATTAGATTTTCCTGTTGGCCGGTGGACAGATAAAATTTGTTTGGCTTGGTTTGTAGAGGTAAAAAGTAAAATTCAAAGCACTCACAGTATTCCCCTACCAAAAGTACATTTTTGATGGCTTTTGCCATTCTTTTTGCATATCTTATAGCTAAGCAGGGGTTCTCCATCACTGCCATTCATTTGGGGATTAAGGAATAAGGAGCAGTAAATGCAGCCTGGCCAAAAAAATTTAAAAGGGGGGCGGGGAAAGAGAGAAAGAGAATAAAAATTACTAGGAAAATAACGTAAACTATGCCCTAGAGACTCTATGTAAGCATATGGAAATGACTTATAATTTCTCATTTAGACTCATGTGACCGACCCAATTCCTTTTAAATAGCAACCTACCTTTCAAACAAATGGAAAAGTGTTAAATGAATAAAAGTATAGGAATTTTCAGAACAAATTCACCACTTAATAACAGTGAATTTTTAATCTGTTACTAACAGAGTAATACTTGAAACACTAATATTTATCACATTAATGAAATATTCCAAAAGTAAAACTACTATAATCACTTATGAAAAATGATAAATACTAACTACGAAAAACTGCATGGGCTTTTAAAAACTAACTTCTGTTACAGTACTCAAACTCTCAGAATGTGGAATATTAAAAAAAACACAAAAAAACAAAGTTACTATATGGAGTTCCTTCAATATGAAAAAGTTTACTCCCTAGAAGCCAAAAACATGTAATTTTATTTCACCATTCTAGTCCCTTATAACTGGATTAGCTAAAGAGAGACAGACAGACAGCTACTAATTAAATTATTAAGCATATAAATAAATACAAAGCATGGTGGCAGGGACGTCCCTGGTGGTGCAGTGGTTAAGAATCTGCCTGCCAATGCAGGGGACATGGGTTTGATCCCTAGTCCAGCAAGATCCCACATGCTGCGGAGCAACTAAGCCCATGCGCCACAACCATTGAGCCTGTGCTCTAGAGCCCGTGAGCCACAACTACTGAAACCCATGCTCCTAGGGCCTGCGCTCTGCAACAAGAGATGCCACTGCAATGGGAAGCCCGCGCACCACAACGAAGAGTAGCCCCTGCTCGCTGCAACTAGAGAAAGCCCGCACAGCAATGAAGACCCAACGCAGTCAAATGAATAAATTAAATTTTAAAATAAATAAATAAATAAAACTATTTTTTTTAAAAAAGCATGGTGGCAGGCATATTAAAGGAATCCCTTTCAGTAATGACATTTAAACTCTTTAGTCTCAGGACCCTTTTTAGGCTCTTAAAAATTACTGAGGATCCAAAGAGCTTTTATCTATGTAGATTATATTTACTGATATTTGCATATTAGAAAAACAGAAAAATCTAAAACTTCTTCCTTAAAAACACCATTTATATGTTAACATGAGTATTTTTATGAAAAATATTTTTTCCAAAATAAAATAAAAATTAGTATGAATGTCCTTGTTTTACATTTTTGTAGTCTATTTTAATAGAAGACAGTTGGATTCTCCTTTTGCATTCAATCTGTTGGGATGTTTCTTTGACTGCAGTTATATATAAAGAGAATCAGGTTTCACACGGATGCGAAATTGGAAAGAAGAGCATTTTAATAGCCTTTCTGATAATTGTGCATATACTTTTTTGATACTGCATCAAAATTAGAAAATATTTAGCTTCTTAAAGATTATATGGTTACTTGGAACTATATCAATCAACTTCTAATACTTTTGCTACATTAAAATTCACTGGTCTATCCTGCACTTTAAATGGATATTTTACCTATGCATGATTCTGTAATACCATGCATTGGTCATCTGGAAAATACTGGTTCTCTACTAGGCTATTCAGATATTACAAATGTTTACACATTTCTTTAGCATATCAAAAAAAATCATATTTGTTAATGTCACCACTGATCTCACCAGAAAAGTCTTCAAGTACTGGGAAGCTATCAAATTCAAAATGGCAGATCCAGGGCTTCCCTGGTGGCACAGTGGTTGAGAGTCCGCCTAGCTGATACAGGGGACACGGGTTCGTGCCCGGGTCCGGGGAGATCCCACATGCCGCGGAGCGGCTGGGCCAGTGAGCCATGGCCACTGGGCCTGCGCGTCCGGAGCCTGTGCTCCGCAACAGGAGGAGGCCACAGCAGTGAGAGGTCCGCGTACCGCCAAAAAAAAAAAAAAAGGCAGATCCAAATTTCCAAAATCTAATTTTTGCTTGAAAACTCGAATTTTACTATTGTCAAGAAATACTTTCACAGTTGTTTTCCTTGAAATGATAAGGCTCACTTCATTCATTTTTTAAGAAAGCATCTGCCAAATACCTAAGTCTGAGTAACCACAGTTTGTCTATTGGTCATTTTTTTCAAGTAAAAATGATACTTCTTAAGATAAAAAGGTGGGCTAGTTCAGTTTCCACTCATATAATTACACAAGCACTTTTCCTTGAAGTAACCATAGTATTTCTGTGTGCAGCAAATGTGTTTTATGTATATTTCCCATTTCATCACACAAAATACTAAAAAGACACCTACTCAAAAATGGAGATTTAATAAAATTTAATAAATTTTACTGCTTCATCTGATACCTCTTAAAAAGTGTTTTCCTACAAGTGTATAGTGGTGAAGAATACAATGGCTACTAAGTATAATTTGGTGTGAATGCCTTGATTTACACTAAGGGTACCAGTAGCTTTATCCCTTCTTACTTTTGGATAATCAATGCAAATATTAACACAGTGAAGAGGGCAAGTAAACTTTCAGTATAATTTTGAGAATATATTATACCTTTGGAGATCCCCTGAAAGGGTCTCAGGATGCTTAGGGGTCTATGGACCATACCTGAGAACCAATGCCTTCTAGCATTCACTAATATAACTCACCACCAAAATTTTCAAATATTTTATTCCATGAGCTACAGAGAACACTTCCAAACCCACATAAAAGCAATCATGCAGTGTCAATGGTTGTTCTTTTAAACTTAAACACCTGGAACTATTTATAAATATCTCATACATTCCATACCAAAATCTGCTAGCTTTAATTCTCCTTTTTCATTAATGAGGAGGTTCTGTGGTTTTAAGTCTCGGTGTAACACCTTTCTTCTGTGGCAATATGCCAAACCACGTAGAATTTGGTATAAAAACAGCTACGGAAACAAAAAATAGAAATTAGTCTTACAGATAATAAGATATACTTTGGTATAAGTTATGGTAAACAGAAAAGCAACTGGCCTAGAACAGTAAGAGAAAAAAAAAAGGAACCACATCCTTTTCCTTACATACCTGTTGTCTGAATTTTACAATTTACTGTTCTATTTGAACCATCTACGTATTTTTTTAGAGTGAACAAAGCGAAATGAAACTTTGTCTTAGTAGCAATAGTTCACTTGTTACTGAAAATGACTTTAAATAAATGTACCTCATAAATTTACAGGCCTACTAATTAGGCTTACAGTTTAATTATGAAATTCTGGCAAAACAAACAACCTTCTACCATTACCCCACCCTACTCCCCCCAAAAAAAACTAATGTGGGGCAACGTCTTTAAAATAAGGCAATGGAATTGGTGGTTTTATGAACATTCTGAGATGTCAAACAGAATGGTGTTGCATAGCTCTGGCAAATTATGTGCTATAAAAATAACCTAAAATAACCTAAACCAGCTTCTATCACCCACCTTCTGGGTACTTTACTTTCAGCACCTCCTACTCAGCCTTCAAAATCTGCTATGATTCAGAAAAGGGAATTGGCACTGTAGAGCTCTGAATGGCTCTTTGAGAAAACCAATTCCTATAAGGCTAATGGGAGACTTTTTGTTGTGGATTTTGGTGGAAAAAAGAATATGAAACACAGGAGGTCTCTGATTCTTTGTGGTTAACAAAGAAGAGGATTCAGGATTGTACCCCTGGTTATCTTGAAGGTGAAAAATAGCATTAGAACTTCAAGAATAAGCCAAGGCAGCAGGTGAACAATGGGCCTGAAGAAAATCTAATTAGCAGTTTCTACACTCTACATATTCATGTGTTTTGAAAACTCTTAAATTACTATTTCCAAATATTTCCGTTACTTTCTATGTTTGAAAAAATATAAGGGGCTAGTTAAACACAGACTAAAATACTCTACAACTTAAGCCAGGAATGTAAACCTGGCTTAAGACATACAAACTTCTCAAATCTTTGTCAAATTATGATGATTAAGGACAATTTTCTTTCCAAATTACTGCTAATATGAAAGCAGGAAAAACAACATAAAAGCCACAAACAAAAATAAACACAAATGAGATTCAGTACACCTTGCAAAACAAAATGTGAAATATGATGAAAACAATTCTCATAGAAAATATATGGAAAGAGACTTAAAGCCCTATTCTAAAATTCTTAGCAATGTGTTACCCATGTGTTTTGAACTGTCTTTTACTAAAAGAAACTGGCTCTCCTTTATACCAAACTTAACTTAAAAGTATGTAAGTTTAAAGTTACTACCTACAGAATTGGAACTGTCTCAAAAATACAGCTGGGACAGCCTACTTCCAGAACAGTTTCTCACAAACTGTTGACTATGTTTGGATAAATAAATCTTTGCTATATTTGGAGTATATCAGGTCAAAGAAACCTACTGTAAGAACACAACTGTATCAAAGGTTTTCATTTGATTTTACTTGTACTCTTGGGTTTCATCTGGGACTATTACACCAAACTTTTCTAGCATTACTTGCATCTTTAGATATTTTTCACATAAGAAAACATGTAATTATGTTACTTTTCCTCCTGACAGTACAGAATGGTATTTCCAGTCTAGTATTCATAATACCTATGCAGGTTCCTGGCCTTACTCATTAGATTAGTACCCTGAAAAGTTGTTCTATAATTAAATACCATTCTAAATACTTTAGGGGAGTTTGCCATATAAAGGAGGCCCTTTGCAGAATGCACTAATCATTTTCATTGATCTTAAACATTTGGATTTTGATATAATAGGCATGTCATTTTCTTTTTAAGCAGAATATACCTATAAATGTATTCTACATATATCTAAGAGAATCAATGTTATAATGTGAAAGGAAATTGTCAAAAGTTTTTATTTTTGTTTTTTTTTGGAGCAGAGAAAGGTTTATTGCAGAGCCAAGCAAGGAGCAAGGGTAGCTCGTGCTCAAAATCCTCAAACTCCTCAAAAGTACTTTTTAAAATTTTTTAAATGAAGTAGTTCTATAAAAAGGTCTGATTCTAAGAAATACTATAGTGTAGTAAACAGAAGTTCTGAGTAAATATGTTCAGAGGACAATAACCTATTTAAAATGCCTAACAGAAAATTCTGAAGCATATTTCATACGTAATGTAGTTCATCTATGCTTAAGTGTTTGTCTGTACTTTAAATAAAATTTAAAATGACACACTAAAGCATACCTTAACATTGTGCATACTCATGATGTTTCCACAGTCATCCATGTACTGTTTTAGATCTTTATCCTGAAAAAATACAGCACTTTACTATGTGATACATAGTTTTGAGAAGGCATGACTGATTTACTTAATAGTGTTTAGTTTAAAAAAAATTTGGGGGGGGGGGCTTCCCTGGTGGCGCAGTGGTTGAGAGTCTGCCTGCCGATGCAGGGGACACAGGTTCATGCCCTGGTCCGGAAGATCCCACATGCTGCGGAAAGGCTAGGCCCGTGAGCCATGGCCGCTGAGCCTGCACGTCCGGAGCCTGTGCTCCGCAATGGGAGAGGCCACAACAGTGAGAGGCCCGTGTACCACAAAAAAAAAAAAATTTATTTTAATTGAAGTATAGTTGATTTACAATGTTGTGTTAGTGTCTGGTGTAAAGCAAAGTGATTCAGCTATAAATACATATATATATATACATATTCTTTTTCAGAAAAATAAGTTGTTTTTTGAGGAAAGATACTGAATGCACCACACATAATTTAATTAAATACTAATAACAATAATGTCCCCGGGGCTGTTAAAAAATCCAATTTGCTATGTTGTATCATTTAGTAAATGCTTACCAGATACTCAAAGACCAGAGTCAAAGATTTATCTGTGTGAACAATGTCATGTAGCGTTACTATATTTGCATGTTTTAGATCCTTTAATAGTGAAACTGCAAAACAAAAAAGAAAGCCAATTACTTAATCTGTGGTAGCCAGTCTTTTTAAAAAAAATCCTAAGTTTAACATATGAATGATTGAGTTTAGGAGTCTCTTAAATTTAAAACAATAATCCACCAAAGGAATTTGTAGTAGAAATTTTAATAGAATCAATTTTTTTCTTTTCTTTTATGGTTCTGGGTTTGATATTTTTAATTCTTAAATTATCCTCAGGGGTTTCCCTGGTGGCGCAGTGGTTGAGAGTCCGCCTGCCGATGCAGGGGACACGGTTTCGTGCCCCGGTCTGGGAGGATCCCACATGCTGTGGAGCGGCTGGGCCCATGGGCCATGGCCGCTGGACCTGCGCGTCCGGAGCCTGTGCTCCACAGCGGGAGAGGCCACAACAGTAAGAGGCCCGCATACCGCAAAAAAAAAAAAAAATTATCAATATTACATTAATACTCTCCATGACATCTTTTTTTCTCAAATGTTAACTTATTGAGACTTCTAGGATTAATTTAGACATAAAGTCCAAGGTACCTTTTTTTCCTTCAAATTGCTTGTCAGTTGCCTCAAACTATTTTCTGGATAATCTTTTTAAAAAAAATCGTACCATTATATAAATATATTTACATCCTGTATATACTATCTATAGTTAGCTTTCCCCCATGCACCAATATATAACATTTCCCAATGTCAAATATTTGTCTGTGACAACAATCTTTAATGACTTCATAGTACTTCATTATAAGCAGTACAATAATATATCTAATTCCTTTTATTAAATCTTTCAGCTTTAGCTATTGCTTCCCCCCCCTCCCCCCAGGGCCTTGTTTTACTGTATTCTTTCTCCTCAATGAGATGCCATAAGCTGTAGTGGCATATATTTTCCAGTCATGTACTATTTCTATATCTGAGCTCCTTGTGCTTACAAAAAATGAACTCTTATTACATAGCTTTGGTTTTAAAATATTCTATATAAATTTCATAATACATTCTGCTCACAAAAGTACAAATTATACCTTCTCTTATTGCTGTGCAGGGTGCACCTTCTTCATGTTCCAACCGGATCTCTTTCAATGCCACCAAATTCTCTGTCAATTTACTTCTTCCTTTATATACTGTTGCATATGTACCCTACAAAATATATTTTTGAAAGACACATCAAAAATATCATGAGTCTATCTATATCATCTACACAATAAAGAGCCCTAACTAAATTTCTAATTTCTAAGCATGTGTTAAATTCTATCTTGCAAGGAAAACCCCACCATGATTAATCTTGGTTTTCCTATAGCTAAGAGGACTTTCAGTTCCATACACACAGCTTCCTTACTCTTACAACCCTACAGAGTGCTTCAAAGGTATGAAAACATAGGGAGAATATTTAATTTACTTTTTGTGCTTCGTATTAGATTAATAACTGAATCAATAGATTTGGAATCAAAGGTACTTTAACTGCAATGGTATGTGCAGATTAAGCACAGTAAGTGAAAACTGAAAATTTAACTAACATATTATGAAACTTTACCCGTTTTCAGACTTTTCAGAATCTTTGTATGCTAGAGCTCTCCTTTAAAAAACAAATATATTCTATAGATTTCTTCTATCATTTCCAGGATAGTTCTCAAACTCCCTTAAGGCCTCCCTAGTAACTAATTCTATTATTTTCTTCTCACTTTCTCACTCTGGGAGGTAGACCATTTCAAAATTAGTCAGTACTAGTAGCAACTTCAAGAAAACCAAGGTCTTATGGGTCAAGAATTTCCTTAACCTTTAATGAGATGTGTCTTTAACCTTAAAGATAGTATTTTGATTTTTCACAAGTTTGAACACATGCAATTTCCCACATGATGGCACAAAGAATACCAGGAAGCTAACTAACAAATAAATGTCTATTTTGTTACCAAGAAAGCACAATATTTTATGCTTCAATATCAGGTTATAAGGCTATTAAAAAAACTCATTTCTTCTCACACGGATGGGATGATATCAAGAATTAAAGGTATTTTCCTTTTAACATTCTGTTGCTTTTTCAGAACAAGATATAATCTTTTAGATGATGAACAAGAAAAAAATGCACCTTACATGTTTGAAATAAGTATTAACTTACCTCTCCAAGCTTTTCCAATTTGATGTAGGTTTCCATTTTTCCAAACCCAATTTCTGACTGAAAGCAAACAATTATAAATTTAGTATTCTTAAAATTTCAATTCATCACTGCCTCAATTTCTGAAACTCTCCTGCTCTGAGGAGTGTCTTGGAATAGAAAAATCTGATTATAATTAAATTGTTGAACATCTGTCAAATTTTAAAATAAATTTTAAAAACTGGAATATTCAAAGGTTCAAAACTATCAAAGTTCACAATTAAAGTTGTCAACCCATCTTTTACATAGATCGAGTAACAGTCTGCTATAGGGACTTCCCTAGTGGCACAGTGGTTAAGAATCCACCTGCCAATGCAGGAGACACAGGCTCGATCCCTGGTCAGGGAAGACCCCACATGCCACAGAGCAACTAAGCCTGTGTGCCACAACTACTGAGCCTGTGCTCTAGAGCGCACAAGCCACAACTACTGAGCCCGCATGCTGCAGCTACTGAAGCCCGTGCACCTAGAGCCCATGCTCCGCAACAAGAGAAGCTACCACAGTGAGAAGCCCACGCACCACAACGAAGAGTAGCCCCCACTCCCACAACTAGAGAAAGCCTGCACACAGCAACAAAGACCCAACACAGCCAAAAATAAATAAAAACAAACAAACAAAAAACATTCTGCTATTATCAAAACTACAATGAGGTATCTATCACCTAACACTGATCAGAATGGGCATCATCAAAACATCTACAAACAATAAATGCTGGAGAGGGTGTGGAGAAAAGGGAACCCTCTTGCACTGTTGGTGGGAATGTAAATTGATACAGCCACTATGGAGAACAGTAGGGAGATTCCTTAAAAAACTAAAAATAGAACTACCATATGACCCAGCAACCCCACTACTGGGCATATACCCAGAGAAAACCATAATTCAAAAAGAGTCATGTACCACAATGTTCATTGCAGCTCTATTTACAATAGCTAGGACATGGAAGCAACCTAAGTGTCCACTGACAGATGAATGGATAAAGAAGATGTGGCACATATATACAATGAATATTACTCAGCCATAACAAGAAACAAAACTGAGTTATTTGTAGTGAGGTGGATGGACCTAGAGAGTGTCATACAGAGTGAAATAAGTCAGAAAGAGAAAAACAAATATCATATATTAACGCATATATGTGGAATCTAGAAAAATGGTACAGATGAACCGGTTTGCAAGGCAGAAATAGAGACTCAGATGTAGAGAACACCGTATGGACACCAAGAGGGGAAAGGGGGCCGGGGGTGGGTGATGAATTGGGAAATTGGAATTGACATATATACACTAATATGTATAAAATAGATAACTAATAAGAACCTGTTGTATAAAAATAAAAAAGAGAAAAACAAATATATATTAATGCATATATGTGGAATCTAGAAAAATGGTATAGATTACCTTATTTGCAAAGCAGAAACAGAGACAGAGACGTAGAGAACAAATGTATGGATACCAAGGGGGAAAGGGGTAGGGTGGGAAGAAAAGAGATTAGGATTGATACATATACACTACTGATACTATGTATAAAATAGACAAGTGAGGGGACCATACTGTATAGCACAGGGAACTCTACTTAATGCACTGTGGTGTCCTAAATGGGAGGGAAATCCAAAAGGGAGGGGAATATACGTATATGTATGGCTGATTCATTCTGCTGTGCAGTAGAAAGTAACACAACATTGGAAAGCAACTATACTCCAATAAAAATTAATTAGAAAAAATTCTGCTATGAAAAAATTTTGTCCTATTTTAAGATCCTGAAATTTTAAGATACCACAGGCATTTTAAGATACTAAAGAATTTTATAAAAGGTAACTACATGATTTTCTTTTTAACAACACTGCAAAATAAATAATTTTCCTACATATTTTCCTTCACCAATCTTTGTGTTCCCTAGGAAGGCCTGCAAAAAACAAAATACTATTTATTTCAGGTTTTCCCACCAAAATATAACAAAAAAGACAATTGCAAGTCATACTCTATTATGAATCAGGAAATGGCTAACACAGAAGAAGCAATATAAACCTAAATCAGTCCCCTCCATCCCCAAAAAAGGGGTTTAAAAGTGAGTTCTTAAAGCCATTGCTTTTAAACCTTGAGATTGTTTGACTACTTTCTATGGAGTCAATAAATGAGATAGATGGAATACTCAAATATGTAATGGAAACCCAGTATTTAAAAACTAAAAACAAACAGAACAAAAAACCCTAACACAAAAGATTTAGGAAAAAAAGAAAAAACAAAGTGATAAAAATTTAGGGATTGAGAGAAGAAATCGGGGGGAAAAAAGTTAAACAGAGGAGAAGAATAAGAATTTTCTTAAACTGCTTTCTAGTAACCCTTTGTAGATAGTGCAAAAGGCAATAATAATCTAAAAATTCACTTCTCACTTTAGAGTGATACTAATGCCCTTAAATAAATAGCCAGTGAAGGGAATAATGTTCTTTTATATATAACCTCAGCTCTCAAAGGTGTATAAATAAGGCTGGATCATTAAATACTATGTTTTAGTCAAACTCTGGAGGTTATACACAATTTTTTCTGGAGGTGTTGAATAAAATAAAAATGATACTTGACAATTAATATTTGACTTAACATCTCTCACCACTTGGAACAAAAGGATAAACTGCCCCAACCTGAATGGCCAGAAGTAGCAGAGGCCTCTCAAAGGAACTGTTTCTATCCTTTTGTTACAAGGATATGTATCCATTTAAAAGCCATGCAGGGACTTCCCTGGTGGTGCAGTGGTTAAGAATCCGCCTGCCAATGCAGGGGACACAGGTTCGAGCCCTGGTCCGGGAAGATTCCACAGGCTGCAGAGTAACTAAGCCCGTGCGCCACAACTACTGAGGCTGCACTCTACTGAGCCCTCGTGCCACAACTACTGAAGCCTGCGTGCCTAGAGCCTGTGCTCCACAATGAGAAGCCACTGCAATAAAAAGCACACATACTGCAACAAAGAGTAGCCCTCAGATCACCCCAAATAGAGAAAGCCCATGTGCAGCAATGAAGATCCAACACAGCCTAAAATAAATAAATTAAATAAATAAATTAAAAATAAAATAAAATAAAAGTCATGAGGAAAACTGCATATCTAATAGTACTTAATTCAATTTTGGAAAACTAATGAAAACTGTGGTCACAGGCAGTATTACTGAATGACTGAAAAATTGCTTCTTTCTGCACTCTTAAAGACTTTTCTCTATATATGGTATTTTTTAAAAAAAAATTAATTAGGGCTTCCCTGGTGGCACAGTGGTTGAGAGTCCGCCTGCCGATGCAGGGGACGCGGGTTCGTGCCCCAGTCCGGGAATATCCCACATGCCGCGGAGCGGCTGGGCCCGTGAGCCACGGCCGCTGAGCCTGCGCGTCCGGAGCCTGTGCTCCGCAACGCGAGAGGCCACAACAGTGAGAGCCCCGCGTACCGCGAAAAAAAAAAAAAAAAAATTAAAAAAGTGAGATTTTGGAACCATCATGCACCATCCACCCATGTACTATCTTATATATGACTCACAGATATTAAGTCCTTGCCTTCTATTATCAATAATTATACAGAATGATAAGGTAAAACTACACTAGACAACACCTGCTAAATACAAATGGAGTTTTTTATTTTAATATGGAAAATGTGGCAAATAGCCCACCATCTGGTGCATGAGAACCTGATTCTGAATAACCTTTTGACTTTGCATGTTTTTTTGGGGACACCTTTTTTTTTTTTTTTTGCAGTATGTGGGCCTCTCACTGTTGTGGCCTCTCCCATTACGGAGCACAGGCTCCAGATGCGCAGGCTGAGCGGCCATGGCTCATGGGCCCAGCCGCTCCGTGGCATGTGGGATCTTCCCAGACCGGGGCACGAACCCGTGTCTCCAGCATCGGCAGGTGGCCTCTCAACCACTGCGCCACCAGGGAAGCCCTGCATGTTTTTATAGTCTATTTACATATTATCTTAACACTTAAAAAAAGGTTAATTACCAAGGTCACACAAACTATGATAGAATATGTTTATTTTCTTATACCTACCTCTAGAATTCAGGTGATTAAATTCACAAACATGGAACTATTCTGCCATGAATTTTAAGTCTTATATCACATTTCTTTATGAAGGAAAAAAGAACTATATTTAAAGAATAAATGGAAACTAGTAAGAACAAAATAATAAACATCCCCCCAAAAATATAATAAAAATGTCATTATCTGTAACAATAAGAAGCACATAGAAAAATATAACTACAAGCTAGGAACTTTTTTGTTTATTTTTTGGCTACGTTGCGTGGCTTGTGGGATCTTAGTTCCCTGACCAGGAATTGAACCTGTGCCCTCAGCAGTGAAAGCACAGAGTCCTAACCACTGGACCACCAGGGAATTCCTGGGAACTTTTTCTTATCAGGAGTTGGGAAATTTTCTTATTCATTCTTTTACCTTAAGTGAATAAATACTAGCATACCCTTAAAAGATCAAGTACACTTTGGTCCAATGGTGACTATGACAAAAATGCTGAGATTTGCTTTAAAGAGTGTATAAATGAACTATAAATTCAAGATTATAAAGATAAAAATGTTGTAGAGATTTACTGTATCATATGAAGTATATAAAGAATAAACTGTAAGAGATGCATCAAAAATTAACACTACAAAGAGTCACTCTTCAAAGAATGAAACTTAGTGAGATCATTAATATATGCTGAAAGTCTGCTTTTTAAAAAGAAGGTAAATACTGGAATTATCTGCCACAACCCAATTCAGAGTAAGTGTACCCACCTCACAACATTTTAATGATTCCCAACCTTTAGGATTTATTACATCCAAATATTAATTACTGAATCTTTATATGGAATTTCTAGAAAATTTTGCTTGCATTTTTATCTGCTGAACATGACAAGATTAACAATAGATATAATGACTAGCTTGTTGACACGCTCTCCTACGGAAATTATTCAGAGGACAAAGGACAAAGCTCATTTATTCAATATTTACCAAGCACAATAGTAGGTACTGGGGATATAGTGAAGAAGACAGATATGATTC